CACCATATCTGATGTCTATCGAGTATCGAATATCGTTCACATCCGAATCGAATCCCAGCTCTAATTCATACGTGTACCTTGCCCTTCCGATATTGTGGCGTCTAAATATCATCTCGAAAGAAACCACAATCTCAATTTCTGATTCTTATACATACCTGTATGCATGTACGAGTACATACTTATACATACACACATACATATATACGGACGTTACCAGCATCGAACGAATGCGAAAAGAACATATTTACAGCAATTGACTCGTCTTAGGTAATTTCTTTACGTTCATCATCGTACAACCGTCGTGCCAAATGGCCACAATCGCACAATGTTTGTTACATCATATAGAAGCAACTTCATCAATATAATGTAATATTACTTTGCACAGTCGTTGCTAGCTAGTACATTCGTGGGCAAAGCGACGTCAAATACTTAAAAAAAAAAAAAAAAAAAAAAAAAAAATCAGAATCTTTTATTATCAAAAATTACAAAATGGACAACTATTTTGTCCTAGGCTAAACAACAAAGGAGAATTGACAGTAACGTATTAATAAATTATTAATTTATTCAAAAATTTACTTATCCACGTATGTTAATTATTGATCAATTAAATTTCTTATTATTTAGTCAAACTATCTTTGGTTCAAAATTTTTGTTCTTTCAGATTAATTTAAAAACCGACAATTCTTTTAAATTATATTTAGGGCAGAATGATCGTATTGTCCGCGAACGTATCGAGTGCGTTAAGCTTTCGTAAGAAATATGGTCTTCCCATCGATGCTTGATGTTTTTACGAACTTTCATAAAAACGACTTTAATACGCGCGCACGTAAGCGACCGCGTAGCAAGGGTAAAATTTTTATGAAAATATGTATATTGGTATCTAATTTATCTCGCAAGGGTAGGTTCCGACGCTTTGCAGTTATGATAAATTGAGAGACAAGACGCTTACCTACCTGTATATTAATAATTATCAATAATTAATTATCGAGCGTTTTTTTCCATTTATATGAAAGAGACGAGACAAAGTACCGATCTAGAGAAATTAGCGTTTAGATAGATTTCGTACTTCGTATTTAATGACATTATTGAATCATTATATATCGAGTATTGTATGTACTGGAGCTGAAGATGACAATGAAAATAAACTATTGTACCCAAAACATTAAATGCTGCTGACTTACCGAGATTCCGGACCCATATATTTCCGCTGCATATTCCATCGAAATTATCCATGAACTCCATTATCCATCCGCTGCATATTCCATCGAAGTTATCCATGAACCCCATTATTCATCATCCGTTCAATCCAATTTTTCACGTGTGCGAGAATGGAAAGCACATGTCTTGTTTTTAGCGTCACGAATCGATCGCGAAGGATTACTTAGAACGTATTTAATAAATGCACTACGATACTCGCCCGATATTAATTCGACACTCCCGAGTCCCGACGTTCATACTCGTGATTCAATTTCCTGAAAAAAAAAAAAATTTACATTGTCACAAATACCACGAAAAATAAATATCAAAGATTTTCGATTAATGCATGCGCATAATTTCATACATTTAGCAAATAATATTAATAATGTTAATTTTTAATCTAGAAGCAGTGAACTGCGGCTAATAAAAATATGATTATTGGAGTCAGTGCTAATTACTACACTTCATATTTTAATTAATCATACGCAAAATAGCATCAATTACATCAATTTCATGTTTCTAATCTAGAATCTAAACTATCAGATTATGTAAGCAGTAATCGTGGCTAATATTTAAAAAAATGATTGATTACTAATTGACACACATTATATATATTATTTACACATTATATATAGGTATATATTATTTCTAATTACTACATATATAAATGTCTATGTACTTATATACATGTACTACATTAACTGCATATACATAAATATATAAATATTATCAATTATACACATAAATAAGTACTATGCATTTCAATTAAATCATAATTTCATGAATATTGCAATCGTAATAATCATAAAAATTTTAAAATTTTTGCGAAAATAAGTAATGTTCACAATTACGGTCAAAAATTATCACAATCACGGCTATTAATTATCAATATTTTAAATAATTCCGATGTAATTAATGTGAGGAATATTCGCATTGTACTAATAATGCTACGATTACACGGAGTATTCACAGAACTGTCGCATATTTGCTGTATCGATACCATCATATTTCTACAAGTGAATTATATGATTAATTTTATAATAGTGTATGATTATACAGTTCAATCTTGCTTGTACAATTTTGAGATTAGTTATGTAAACAAGTTAATTAAAATATACAATAGTAATTAGCAGTGAATGCAATATTTACAAATGAAATAATTTATTTTTTTCCTCGATTAAAAAAAATCTTTGTTAATGTTATTTTTGTTTCTTATAAGACTTGTTCCTTATTATGTTAAAGAACGAAGTTCATTACAGTTAATCAATTTTCTATTAGAGACGCAATTTGATATCGTAGAAATTTCAAAGTGTTAATGTCTATTGTTGATATACATTATTAAAAAAAAAACATAACCACTTTTCGTCTGCATTATCTCCGTAGCGTCAAAATTTAAACTTACTGCGGCTATATCAACTAACGGGGGAGGGTCGATTGTGTTTATGTTAAAATAACATGAAAATTACAAAGGTGAGCAAATTCACTAGCTATTGACTAATGAAATTGCAACTATTGTAGTGAATTTGCTCACTTTTTTATTTTTCATCTCGTTTGGAGATACACAATCGACTTCAAGGTTATGATTTTCGACCGACGATGCCACACCGATACGTTCGCTCTCTCTCTCTCTCTTTCACAATCGGCAAGACACTCGTCCGCTATCAATCTGATACTCCACTTTTATACTCTCATCTGTCTAGACCGACGATGAATAACAATTCACTCCTGATAAGAGACAGGACCACCGGGATCAAATTGATGCCGCCGACGAGTCGCGATTCACGCGAGAGTCGCGGGACTCGAATGGTGGGGAGGGGATGCGCAGCAGGGGAGGGAAAAGCACGTACACTGAGGAGTAAAATCAGTTTGTACTTCGGTGTAAGATAGATGCAGACGAGCGCGCCATCCATGGATTGGTCATGAATGACCGACCGCGTTCGTCTGCACTTATCTACACCGAAGTAAATTCATTTTTGTCTCCTCACTATACGTATGCGCTCTAGGGAGAAATATTTTTCCTGCGCATGTGCATTGCGTTCGGTTCGAGTAAGTTCATAAGGATCATTTTCGCGTGTCTATGGCATCGGAAATATAAACTTATTGCAATTACGTGATCGCCGCGTCGTTTACGGACTATACATTGTGCGCGTCGAAATCTGAGTTTACTGCAACCGCATGTAACTTGCGTTACTCAGTTACGATTCTTGCCCAATATATGTTTGCTGCTGTTCGATCCGTAATCGAACTACAAAATAATATACATTCAACGCTTGTCGGCGCGCGCGCGCGCACACCGACAAGCCCGCAATGCTCCTGTACATATAGCTCTGTAGCAATGATTTATTTTCGACAAGAATATCTATGGGATACCTGCGACGCCACTTCGGCTCTCTATTGTCGTTAATGAGTTAAGACTCTGCATTTTCGCAATATTCTATTCGTCTATTTAAACTTACTGTGGTTGCGCCGGCCGGTTGCTCGACGCATCCATTGGCGCTTCAAGATTAGCGATTTACTACTAATTCAGTCTAATATGAAATAACGCGCGCATCGTGATACTCGCACGATGTTAATTCGACACCCCCGATACTCGCGTGCGTCGACGCACTTCACTTTCGATCAAGAAACGGAGAAAAATGCGCGAGAAAGTCCGAGCGCGACGCGAGAACGCGAAGTACGCGAAGCGAATGCCTACCGACAGTACCGACGCGACAGGTGTACAAACCTACGAAAAATATAAGACGGCGCCGAACTACCAACTGCTCATGCGCGCCGCATTTGAATTTAATTTGAATTTTATTAGCATACTTAAATTGCGGTCTTGAAATAAGATAACTGATTATTATAAATATCAGCGTAATGGATCTTATTATGTATCTCCTTTTGTCATTAAATAACTTTTCTTATTCTACAATAGTTAAAATGTTGAGTTTAATTACTAATATTGTTAAAGATTACACGCGCGCATAGAATATAATAGTCGTCTATATTTCTGTTAATTAATTTCAACAAATTGTGCGAGTTATTGTTCATTTTTAATCTTAATTATAACAAAATTCTGAATTATAATGCAAAATTATAAAAATATATATATATAAATTCACGCGTAAATAATTGCTTACTCCTAGAATCTAGATTATCATTGTCGTGACATCTGTTACGAATCGAATGCATTAATGATGCGAGATGCATTCACATTCCAAGGACACTTTTATGTAACATATATATGTATATGCGGCTCATCGATTTTTTTCTCTATTTTTTGTAAATATATGAAGCAATTAATTAATTGAGTCATGTCCATTTCTACCGATGGCCTAATTTACACCGAGCACTTGATACGCATACTAAACTAGAAACTTTCCATTAAATTATCTTAATTTCTACAATAAATTTAAAGAATGATGTACTAAGCTGATACATTATATGCATTAATATGATTAATTAAACACATATATCATGTATAAGTTTATATATGCATCGTCGAAATTAAAAAAATTTAATAGAAAGTTACTATAGTTAGTACGCGTATCAAATGCTCGGTGTAAACTAGATCAATGTAGATTAACATTAATCTCGGTTTTTCTAATTCTTAAAACTAGAAAAAGATGCAAAATAAGTTAATAACCAAGAAATGGCCATCCCTCGACGAACGATTTAACGAGAGGACACATTTCACGTGTGCGTAGAGAAATGTGGCCGCCGAATACGAATGAGCCTGACCGCCCGTACCTGAGCCTCCGAGGAGGGCTCCGAGCCGTGGGCTACTCCGGCTACTGCGGTGAGGAGGAGTGCGGTGCGCAGTGCGCACATTGTGCGCATGAACCGGAGTACGGCGACTACGACGAGAACTGACGAGAAGCCAGGCAGCGAGCCGAGCGAGCGATCAGTGAAAGCATTCGCAGCCTACTTCGCGGCTAGTCGACAGTGGACTACTCGACACTCGACAACACTCGACGAGTAAGGCATCATGGCGATCGGTTAGGGTCGCATCGCTCGAAAAATTTACCGTGATTTCGTATATATGATCTTGCGTATCGTGAATTAATCGCATCGAATTTTCCGTCGGATGGCCGCACATCATCGATTTTTTGCATAATTATAACCTCCATAACCTCCAAACGCGTGTGACACAATGGTGAAGCTGACCGAGGAGATGGTCGTGGCACGCACGCGAGTGTCTGACTTTTCCGCCGTAAAGAAACTTAATTGCTGGTAAGTATTTATACTGACGACAGGTCTCTTTAACGGCACAGTCGTACGTCACGAATTAATTCATGGCGACCGATTGTCTTGGAGCGATTAAACACGCTTGATTCGGCCGCGCGCGACAAGGTTATCAAATTTTTCTACGATGCCATAGGAAAAAAGAGAATTACAATCACCCGAGCGTAACTAATTGTTGTTCGTGAGACACTGGCATGTGAAAGAATACGTGGAAAAGTACACGAATTCTGCGTCTACAGTACAATCCTGTCTATTAAAAAAATATATATGCAAAATAATATTAAAATACATAGCTAAATTTTCCCAATATTTTTATAAACAAAAAGGATTTATAATTCAGGGAAGGAATCTTTCTAATGTTTATTCTTTTATCTTTAAAGTGAGACGGTCTTGTAAAGTTTGGCCATCTACTTTAGAATGACTCTGTGTAAAAAATTAATTAGGACAATATTTTTCTCTCTATTTTAAATTAATATATTTTTAACGCAGGGGAACAGAATTAACAGATGTTACTATCTTAAGAAAGATGAAAAATGTGGAAGTGTTGTCACTGAGGTAAGTTGTGTTTTGTTCAGATAATTAAACAATTATTGAAATAAGAAAAATATTGTGATCTATAAAATTTATCATAATAGTATGCAATTTTTAATGAAGTTAGAAAACAGATTGTTACAATATTCATTAACAGTTTATTACGCAGAAATGTAAACTCATTTTTTATTAGTCATGATCTAAGATATTTTTCATCTTACGAAAACATAGAGGCTGCAACATTCCCACTATGGGCATGATTACATTAAACTCATGGTCACAACCCACAACTTCAGAAGTTGTTCTGCCCACACATGCTTTGAATTCATTGTGATTTGTCTGCGTAATATTGAAAAATGACAAATATGAAGATCAATATCTGGAATATCTAAAATCCATTTTAAAAGAGATTAAAGCTCTTTTATTTTTTTATACATTATAATTATAAAGTACAATATAAAATTAGGTCTTTTTATGAAATAAAGAGTAAAATATTTAATAACATTTTTTTATTGTTTAAAATAAAATTACAACATTAATTAAAAACTGTTTAATTTAAAAAATAAATTTTCTTCTCTTTCTTTATCTGAAATAAAAACAATAATAAAAATATTTATATAAAAATATTAAACATTTGTGTTTATTTTTAGCATAAATAATATTAATACACTTGCTGATTTTCAATACTGCCACAAGCTACAAGATTTATTTATAAGACGAAATAACATTAAAGATTTAAATGAAGTTTGTTACCTCCAAGGATTACCTAATTTACGAAATTTGTGGCTCGGTGAAAATCCATGTGCAGAAAGGGATGGGTAAATATTTAATAGCATTTATTCATTTCAATGGCGCTACAACCCAAATCGAATCCTGGCCTACCACTCTCTTCATATGCTTGTGATGCCCATGCTGGCATATGGACCTACAGCTTAAAAGCCGATTCTGAACGACAATTGTTTTTGAAAGAGATTTTCGAGATAAAAGTATTCTCAGTGGTTTGTTGAACCTCTCTGGAGAAGAGACGCAAGCATATGAAAATTTGTTGGTTCTGCCTGGGTTTGAACCCAGAACTTTTGGCAACAAATCAGTGCACTGCAGTCTGTTAACGCCACACTTGCCAATATTTAATAGCAAATACTGTTAAAATGAGAAACTATGAGAACTTTATGATCCATTATTATGACTCTGTTTTGATAGATATCGATTAGCTGTACTTCGAGCTTTGCCAAATCTTGAGAAATTAGACGATAAAATAGTAACACCTGAAGAAGTGCAAACTGCAATGACAATAGGTCGGCCTTTAATACATCCTCTTGAAATAGATGCTACACAATCGGAAGTAGTAAGCCCAGAGGTAAAAATATATTTCAAATAATATACAATAATAACAAAAAGATTGATGGGTACTAAAATGCTACTCATATGCAATTAATATCCATATTATTTCATCAATAATTTTTACTTTATGCTTTACTTATGAAGATTAATAGCTCTTTATTAAAATATACGGATATTAATAGCATCGATATATTATGTGTTAATTTAATAAACAATTTTAAAAATTATGTATATTTTAAACATGTGCATTTATAACAACATTGAAATGCTAAATGACATTTATACTAAATTAGGATATTACAATTGAATATATTGAAGAAACTGAATTGGGACGATCTAGGAGATACAGTTTTTCTAGCGATCAGGTAATAACAAATTAATGCATTCTTTAATTGATTTTCTTACCAGTCACTAAAATTTTTGGTAACTCATAAAATTAATTATTAAAATGGGACAATATATGTATAATATGTATACATGTAAAATTGTTTTTTTTTGTTTTTTTTTTTTTTAGAGAAGCTTTGATGAAACACAACACACACATGAAGAATATGACCCTGACAGAAGAAACGCAAATTATAATGCGTCATCGTCACATCATTACTCACAAAATAATCAATATGCATACGAGGTCAGTCATGCGTATAATAAGAGTAAAAATATCTTTTTATAATTATTTCTAAAAGCAAATAATACTATTTGTTAATAACAAAATGTAACTATTGTGCTGGGAAGTTTTTTAATGTTATAATATCAATATTGCATTTTAAATCAATACTTTCACATTAGAAATAAAAATCTATGATTAGTCAATTTAATTATTAGATAGTGATTGTATTGACTAATTAAATTAAAAGAGTTAGATTTCAAGCATAATATTATAAATTAAAGCCTGTCATATCGCTTAATTATACTAACAGCTACAAAATGGACAATCAAAGAGTCAGAGCAAAGATGACACTCTGTGTGCAGAGTCACGCAACAACAGTGAGACTGTGGCTACTAACACTCTTGAAATATCCAAGGTACATTTAAGTACAGCGCATTTTTAACCATATTTGCAACTCTTATATTCCACAACTTAAGGAATGTTTAATGATAATTTTTCTTTTTTGTCTTAATTGCTTTAACATATAATTTAACTTTATCTTCATATCAACTAAAATAAAATTGGAAATGAATAATAATAATAAATAATTTAATACTAATTTATAAAAAATGTGTGAAACTTGTATGACTTACACATTTCCTCTGATTGTACTTATGTTTGAAGGATATAGCTGAGAGACAGAGCAGAAATATCACAAGACAAAGTCTGTCATTTGTAGATCAATAGTAATTTGTTCTTATTGTGGCAAACTATATAAATAATAATCATCAAATATGAAAATCTTAAACATAAGAAAATTTGAACTAAAATTTAATATCTAAATTTGATGCCATATATTACTAAACACATTTACGATAAATAGAAGATATTAGTTTTTTTTATTTATTATTATTTTATTCCAATAATATGAGATGGAATCTCTACAACTAAAAAATGTAAAACAATGTTCTTTTAAATACAATTTACATAGTATACAGTATAACTGCTTACAATTATTTTATGGAAAACAATGTTTTAGGATTACGATGAACGTCCAGTAGTACAACGACATAATGGAGATTATGACGAAAGACGAGCTTATTCTGAATATAGTGGAAATGAAGTATCTCAGCGTATGTATACACCAACGTCGCAACGTACGCAATATGCTGTCAGTGAATTTGCAGATGACAAACGTAATGACAGAAATAACTATAGCTACGATGAAAGAACAAGATTAGAATATGAGGATTCGCCACAATCTCCTCAAATGCCTCAAACAAGAAGGGTGGCGGCTCATTCTAACGAAAAGGTTAGATAAATAATAAAATATATTACTTTCATCAAATATTAAACTCAAGGCAATCCATAATATTTAACTGGAAAGACATTATGAAAAGCTATAAAAAGGTTTTAATAAAATTAGTATGTTTCAATTATAGGAAGACATAAATCAACAGGGTTGGGTAAGACATTCTGAAAAAGACAAATGCAGAAACCAAACACAATTTCACTATCATAGACGGCCAGTGACGAGAGTATGTTTTATGATATTGTTTTAAAGTGTAATTAAATTCGAAGTAATTATTATCTGTTTAACATGTATTTTCCTTTTTCAGAATTCAAATATATTGTCTGCTGTACTGTGCTTGGTTAAGGAATTGGATTATCCAAGTCTGGAAGTGGTAGAAATGGCTGTTAGAAATCGAATGGATGAACTAGAAGAATGATGTTTCTGACACCGTCCCCAAAATCCACAGGGGACGGTCGCTTTCTCCCACATTGGCAGCATGTCATCTGTTCCCAGCCCAGAATTCTCCGATTCACTTGATTCTACCATAACTTTGGGCCAATACGCTGATAAAGATGGGAATTACAACAATGACGAACATCACATGCTTGCCTATCATCAATTACTTGAAGAAAATAATGATAAAGGTCAAATTCGACGTAACGAATGTGCCGAAAGAGTTTGCTCAACACACAGCCCGAAAACAGTATCGATTGATCCGAATCCAAGATTGCTCGGAAATAATCAGTCCGTGTATAAAATCAAAGATTCTGTATTGGACAATTCACCATCGAAGAATCAAGAGAAAAAAAGTAATAATGTAAGACGCGTAGCGAGCAGTGACAGTATTCCCCGTAGTAATGATAATAATGTCATTTTGAGTCAGGGGTGTAGAGTTTTAAGCCAAGATTGTGTCAGAAAATCAAAAAGTCCTGATGCTAGGAATACAGTTACACCACTTCGTTATATTCAATCGGCAAAAGGAACGTGGACATATAATTTGTAAGTTATACTGACAATTTAACAAAATCGTTCTTAAAATAATCTAAATTTTCTGTAAATACAATTAAAAATAATCTTTTCGATAAAAGCGAAAAAGAAATAAAAAAGCTTAGTAATGAATACAAGACTCAAAAATCGAAGATTAGTCTCATCATATTATTTCGGAGGAAAAGTCTATAAGTGCATATAAAATTTACAAATGATTGTGATATATCTGCAAGGACTGAAGAGACAAATGTAATTATCTTCATGTATTATGTGTACATTTAATAACATGTTACAATCGTAATAACTTCGTTAACATGAAACGTTAAAGTTAAAACTAATGAAATTTTGATTTCAATAAGCAAATCTGACGATTGATATGTAAGTAATTTTATTTAACAGCCGTTAAATTTTTTCAAAATTTTATTGAGATAAATTTGTTAAGTATATATTTAAATACCTGTAATGTATAAAACAAAATCAAAGATAAATTATATGCTCTATTAAATATTTTCTCAGTAAAAAAAATATTTGGAGTTTTTATCTAAGGAAAAAAATTATTTGGATCACAGTGATAGTTCGTTTAAAGATAAATATTTAAAAAATTTCAATTTTTACGATAAAATACGATTAAGAAATAAATGTATATATGTAGAAGTGATTTTATACACATAATATTCTATAAAAAAACCCATGTACATTATTTGCATCTAATCTGATAATTTATAATCAAAATGTCATTTGTGAACATCAGGGCTTATAAATGTATATACACAAGTGAAAAATTAAATTCCCAAGTATTACCATTTTCTATTACTATTTTTTTATTTTATTTGATTGCGGAGAGGTACATTAATTTTTTTAACGATGTTATAAGAAAAAATTTTGTTTTATATATGTATATACATATAGGATCACACATTATAAAATTGTACTTAAAAATAATAGAATAATAAGCAAAGTAACTGTAAGTAAATGTATATTATACATAGATTAACTTTAGGCTGGCGAACAAGTGTATAAGGTTGTATTTTTTGAGACCAATCCTCCTTATGTTAACTGCTAATAAATAAGAAAAGCAGAAAGAAAATAAGAAATTACATTTCTTCTGCAGACAGTACCGTTCCATCATCAATTAAGCCAATAACTGATGATAATTAGGTTTAAGACATTTTATAATAATGTAAAACACATTGACTTTTGTTATCCAAAACCGTCCGCATATACATATACTCACATCATTTTATAATTTATAAACAAGATTACTTTAATGTATACATACCATTATATGTAGATTTCATATGTTGTTTAAAAATTTATGTAAAGAAAAAATTTAATCCTTGAATTATAATCAGTGTTGAAACGTTGTAAACTTGTATTGCATTTGTACAAATCATCTTTGAAATTAATATCCCTGTTAATATTTTCTGTATATTAATCAAATATTTTGTTAACTTATTTAAAAAATCGAAAATTTATAAACATACGCTATTAATACCTAATCATTTTGTGTTAACTTAATTTTTTTAGGCAAATTCGATTAACTTTGATTATTTAAAATTTTAATTTTTAATAAAATAAGATTTTCTAATTTATAACGTCAACTTGTAAATGACGTCAATATAATTACAAAAATTTCTCACGAGCTTCTCATGAGATTATCCATGAGTGAATAGGACTGTATACATCTAACCGAGAAATCATATCAATCCGTGATAAGGCATTTCTCTCTGATATAGGCATGTGCCATTGTAGCCGTTATTCCTCTATACGAATAACAGGTCGGCTCTTTTTAGCTGAACTAGCTGCACTAGTTCAGAGTTTATCTTTTTTCTTCCAATGTAGAAAAAGAAAGATAAACTGTGATCTAGTGCAGCCAGTTCAGCTAAAAAGAGCAAATTTATTTCGATGGATCGTCCTCTGTTACGCAGGTTATACAAAAATAATAAATATATTGTTTTTTCCAGTTTATGTAGCTATAAAAAATGGTGAAAAGTTGCTGTGTTAAGGAATGCACAACATCGTGGTATCCAAAGAGTGAATTATCGTTTTTTAGGTAGATTATATGAACTTATATAACCTCAAATATGTTATTTCCAAACAATGATTCCTGATTTCTATACTCTTTTATTATAGTTTTCCGTTGAATAATAGAGATCTGTTAAATGAATGGTTGGAAGTTGTGCCAACGAAAAATCGAATTTCAAAGAATTCTCGAATATGCAGCAATCATTTCGAGGAATCACAATATGAATATATTTCTGGTAAACGTCACTTGAAAAAGGATGCAATTCCTAGTATATTTTCCCAGGATATAACCAACTTTGTAAGTAACTGAAAAAATCTAAAATTTATCCTACAAATACATACAAATGTAATATATATTTTTTGTTATTTTGTAGAAAACAATAATTAATGAAGTGGAAAAATTATATCCGACATCTCATGTTGTGTTGGAAAAAAATGAAATTAACGATAACTCTAATAATGATCACTGTTACACGAAGCAGCAACAATTTTTAGCATATGTGTCATTACCATCATCAATATCAGATGCAACGAATGAAGCAACTTCTCAAACTCGGGTTAGTAAATTTCCATTATAAAAGAAATTTTAAATTTATTATCTACAATATTTATTTGTTTATTGTTGTGCATTTTTTACATATTACCAGAGTGTTTATACGCAAACTTCACCAAGAGCGACCGAAAAAGAAAAAGAATTGCGGCAACAAATTAAGATCCTTCAATCCAGACTATGTCGCAAGGAACGAAAGATATTGGGTATTTACCAATTGCTAAAACATATGAAAAAAAATTGCAAATGCAAAAGCTCAAATAGATAATTTGTATAAAAATGTTGGCAATACATATTTAATAGCATTTATACTCATAACTTTATGAACAAACTTAAATGTCAATACTTTGTCAAACTAACGATGTTTCTGCACTGACGAGTTTAATAAATGGATATTTTCATAATTTATTTTATTGTTTTTTTAATATTTTAAAATAATTTATATTCCTTCTTTCATGTCTTAAATATTTGTTTAATAAAATTAAATCAATCCAAGTAAATTACGTTATCACCCAAAAATATAAATATTTTTGCAGAAATTTATAATATAGGTGACGTAGCAGTCAAAGTGTTAAAAAAGAATATATACTTTTAAAAAATATTTTTATGTATGTAATTTTAATGTCCTATAATTACATGTTTTTCAATTTAAAATAGTAAGTACAATAAAATAAATAATATAACTAGAATATACATATAAGATATTGACCTTTTTATTGGTTTATTATAATTAAAAAATATATTTCTTTTAGAGAAAATAAAATCTCTAATATATCCCACTTAGCGGAGACTCAAACCCCACTTAGCGAAGATTCGAACCTCACTTAGCGGAGACTCGAATCACATTTAGTGGAGATTCAAACCCCACTTAGCGGAGATTTTTTATAGAGTCAGGTCGGTCAGGTGTAATCAGATGTTTTGCATTGTCATACGAATCCACTCGACTTGTGAAAATAAACATAGAGATGCGAGTAACCGGAATAATTGATACGTTGTCACTTTATGAAAGAACGCTTTGCCTGAACGATTAATGTTATGCTTAATTTAATATTATGTAACAATCGTTTGTACATCATTGAATCGTTCTAACCTCAAAAAGTGTGATGCTTGTTTTACGCGGACTCCAGATTTCAAATTCCCTCGTCGTGTTGGGTGGCCTCGCTTTGTGTCTTTTATTTATGATTCAAATCAAACAAATCTATAATAACAATCAGAAATACAATAGATATCTAAACTATAAACAATATGTGAGATTTCTTTGTGTTTACATAAATATTAACAATCGCTATGTATAGTTAATATTTTTATTCATTCCATATATAATATATATTTTAAGATAAGGTACATTAGATCACATTTTTAGATGAATGAAATAGCAACGGAATTGAGGACAGTGATAAGATCCATCAACAAATCTTCGGCTTATGTTCATCAATTAAATGAGGTGCTTACAAAGTATCGCGAAAGAGAGTCAAAGAATATCTCAATGTCAAGAGCAACTTTACCATCGTAAAAACATCTTAGGAATTTAAATTTCTAAATGCGGAAGGTTGGTAAATTATATTTCAATTGTAAAAGCCTGTTCTTGTAGTGTCATTTAATTTTTAAATTTTCCTCTTAAAATTTAATACTTTAATGAGTATTGAACATTGTTATTCACATATACCATGCTGAGTATTAATGTTACTTCAATATTTGTTCTTATTATTCATTACTTAGATATGACGTAAATTCTGTAAATTATTGATTATTATAACCTGTGTTCAATACTTATTACTACAGAAATGTATATTAAAGTAAAAAAATTGTAAAAAAGAAAATGTATATATAATAATCAGCAAATCGGAATATTAGGAGTCTTAATCGTCCAAATTGTTCAGTGGCATACATTGTGGGTTACTATTTCCAATATTCTCTAGCACACCATCTGGCGCGCACAACCACGGATCCTTTGTTGTTTCTAACCAATTGAACAATCGTTTTTTAAGTTCGACGAATGTGTTCTGAAATTTAGAATATAAATGAAAAATTGAAATGCATTTATTATGTCATAGTTGAGGAGAAATATAATTAATATAATTACAAATTGATACTACCTTTGCGGACGGTTTTGAAACTATATTATTTAATTCTTCTGGATCATATTTTAGATCATATAATTCCCATTCTGGTCTCTGATAATATTTCTTCAATGTTTTATACCATGGTAGAGATTGATGATTCCTTGTTCTATTTAAAATGTCCTGTATACAATGATAAATTACTTATGAATACGTCTATATTAATTAATAACTTATTTTAAAATAATTTCAACTCCAATTTAAAAAAAACCTAATAACACCTTTTGGATATTTTTTCCTTATTCACCTTATTGGATTTTTTTTCAGATTACCTGAAACGTCGGAGATACGTAAAAGTCTTGATCAATAGGAAATGGCATCCTGTAGTTAATATTATGTATAAGTTTGTGGCGTTTAGTTCTAATCGCGCGCATAGGATAATACATGGTAACTTCATGATGTGTTTGACTAGCAAAGACTGCCGTATTATTTTCTTTGGGTTCTATAATAAATAAAATATCGATTATTTTACAGTATGATCTCTCCGATATATACGCAGTGCATTCAATACATACATACACTGAATATACACACCTTCACGAAGTAATGGTACAAGTGATTTGCCCGTAAGTTGCAGAGGAGACACTTCATTGGAATCTTCATCACTCATGTAAGTCACATTGAACCAATCTAATATTGTCGGTACTATGTCTAGTAAAGACGTCATACTATAAGTCACGCTGTTTTTCCTATGGCTCTGGATCGGTGATGACATCATCATGGGCTCAGCCATACCTTTAAATTTTATTGGTAATACTTGTTTGTGTTTTTAAAATATTAACGTTTTTAAATGTCTGCTTTTCATTTCTCAGTACATTAAATGTACTGTAACTAAATGTACGAACCTGAATCGTATAAATTTGTACGACCGTTTGGGAAAGGTATGCCATTATCCGACGTATAAATTACTAATGTGTTGTTCTTGAAGCCTGCATTTTCTAATTCTTTAAGAACAAGACCAACGCCTGAAAAATTGTATTCTTTTTAAATACTGCCATGTATTAATATATAAAAATGTAACAGCTCATCTTGTTCATATTAGAAACGTACATACATATTTCTGATATTTCTCAAACAACATTCAATCATTTAAATACCTTTATCCAAACGAGATATTGTTGTATATTGGGCAGCAATATCTCTCCGAGCAGCCTCGGTATTCTGAACGTAGTAGGGCACTTTAACTTGCTCCCACTGATAATATATTGGATTCCAATCGGGAATTGTACCCATTCCAACATCACCATTACCGAATTTTTCACAAAAATTGCCATATTCTGGATGAGAATGCCCACAGCGATGTGGATCATGGAATGCAACATACAGAAAGAAAGGTCTGCAAAATTTTGGTACAACTAAGAAAACGTTTTGTAGAATAATACGTGAATAAATAAAAACTTATATGATTTTTTCAAAATGTATAAAGTAACAAAATAATATTGCGTATATTTTATTACAAGATGAAAATTTAATATATTACTTTATAAAAATAAAATTATGTACAAGCACTATATGTAAAATATTACTTACTGTAATTTATTTTGTGAGAGAAACTCGCGGACCAGTAACTTTATATACGTAATATTGCGACCTACTTGAAGAATAGAATGATTTTCTTCTGTATGTGCAAAATCAAATGGATAAACATTACTCGGACCTACATGTTTTTTGCCAATAATTCCTGCACAAAGAAAATATTCGAACATTGTGATAACATAATTTATATAAATGATATTATAGAAATCCATTATTCATTACCTGTTCGTATATTGTTTCTTTTCAATATTTTTGGCAAACTTTGAACATTATCAAAAGAATTGAAGTGATGAACTCCATGATGAAGACCATACATCCCATTTTGATGACTCGGTAATCCAGTTAATATTGCAGAGCGGCTGTGCAAGTATAAGATTCAAGATCTTTATTAATTATCTTTATTAATTAGATCCAATTTGAATCAACAATCTTATTAGAATACCTTGGTGAACAGCTACTAACTGATGTGTATGCATTATTGAATAGTAGACTTTCCTTTGCTAATTTATCCAAATTAGGAGTTTGACATATTTTATTTAAGTATGATCGCATTTCAAATCCTGCATCATCAGCTGTGGATTAATAAATAAACTATTTTATACTCTAAAAATTCTGTACACAAAAATATAGATTATGGATTTAAAATTGATCTAATCTAATCGCAAAATTAAAAATGTATCTAACTTTTCCCAACCTTCAGCTGGGAAATTTTTAATTCTTATTCATACCATCCCTCTTATACTTATTATTTTATTTCAATTATTTGACAAAACGCTAGTGGATCACATTTATAACATCACATTCGAAGCATGCATAAAAATGCTAAAAATAGTACTTTATGTAAATTACCCAGCAACAGAAGCACATTTTTTTTAGCTGTATCGGTTTGTCCATTTGTGTTAGATAATCGCAATAAGATAATGCCCAAAAGACATAATAATTTATTCAAACAGCTGTTCCACGACATATCGCAATTATGTGACAATTACGTAGCACGTGTGCCCGTAAGCGATACACACTACACACGTGTGTGTGTGCGAGCGCATGCACGTGACCACGTGATCGCACATTAGTGACATACACAAGTATTGCCAATACAACCGATCAAAATTCAAAAATTTTCTACTCTTCCGCGATAGCAGACACGTGATAAGGGGTTGATTATCTATCTCAAGTATCACGTCGTATCTTGTTGGGTGGGCACATGTTCGGCATCGTGGTCAGACACGTGCACAAAAGCCCCGCGACCGCGAATGATACAACTGCTCCGTTCCAAGTGTCAACAAAGTGCCGCAAAGTCGGCAAAGTGCGTCTGAAGGAACACGCGTCGCGTGAAAGATCGCTGCGCCGTGTACCTGGTACATTTTTTATCATTTGATTGGTATATATGACTTTTCCAACATCTGGCGACACCGACACAGTCACAGTGCACGAGTGGCACGACACATCAAACCGGCCACGTATATACATATGTGCCTCTTTTTTATATATTCTATATTTTGTTGTATTTTCATTTCGAATAACCTCTTGTAGTCGATAATCTCGCACGAAATGCCATTGATCGTATCACGTATGTCAAAATTTTCAGCTTATCTCCGGAGATTGCTCTGAAACGATTTCCTTTGCAATGATGGACAAAATATTGCATTTCCGTTAGGTTAGGTTACATAAGAATAGATCATATGTACACTCTTTAGGCTCTTTTTCCTTCCAAATTTTCTTTTATATCTTTTTAATTGAATTTTAATTTAATTGACTGTATCGTGTGCTCCGTTACGATACAAATATACATAATTGCGATCAAAATAAATTATGGCTAAGAATGTGTAGAATGCTGAATGATTTACACGCAAATCGTTTTTCTTAATAAATAAATAGAGGGGGAAGAGGTGGCAATTGTTAACCTGTTTTTTAACTCGGCACGTGATTTAAAATTCCCATTCGATAATCTCCCTTATCTGGAAACTGATTGTAAAGAAATCTATAATCGTATAATTTTAAAGGCATTCTTGTTTTTATTTTATTTTGCAATTTTATGTGCAATGTATTTATGTATTTTATATTTATATTTAGTTGTGAATATTTCTGCGAAAATGAAATGATAATATGTATTTCTCAGAAACCTTGGATACTTAAATACGAGATTAGATTATATCATGTCGAAGAAGATTATTTGCCTGTTTGACGTAGATGGCACACTTACTGAACCACGGCAGGTATTACACTTTGAATACTAAATAAAAAACCTATCTTTGAACGATGCTAAATTTCTCCCTAAATATTACAAATTATTACATTATTCTGCTTGTCTTCTATTAATTAAAAAAATGTATTCTTGTTTTCTATAGCCAATCGGTTCTAGCGTTGAAAAGTTTCTCCTAGAAACTGTAAAAAACGAGTTTGACATTGCAGTAGTGGGAGGTTCTGATTTAAATAAGATTCAAGAACAGCTAGGTGGTAGAAACCTCTTTGAAAAGTACAAGTATGTTTTCGCAGAGAATGGCCTTATTGCTTTTAAAAATGGCAAAGCTTTGCCTTCACAAGTAAGTAATGAAATTGTGTCCAAAGGCAACGACAGATCATGCATTTTCTCTTTTAACATATGTATACATCAAATTTTAGTCGATACAAGATATAATCGGAGAGGATGCACTGCAGGATTTTATAAATTTTATCTTGCGATATATATCTGAGTTGAAGCTGCCATTTAAGCGTGGAACATTTATAGAATTCCGTACAGGCATGATGAACGTTACGCCAGTAGGACGAAATTGCAGTAAGAAAGAACGCGACCAATTTAATGAATATGACAGTGAACATCATATTCGTGAGAAATTTATACAAGCTCTTAAAAAGGAATTTCCTGATTTAGGTCTAACTTACAGTATTGGTAAGTGACATGTTATATAGAAGTAGTTCTACAATTTGATTATAATATAGCTAAATTTTAATATAATATTTATTGAATTATTTCAAAATATTTATTTTTATTATGTCATATTATTGATTATATTATTTATCATGTTATATTATTATAAATATCTTACATACTTCTGAGTACATATAAATTTTAACAAGAAAATTTCTTTTTTTTTTTTAGGGGGACAAATCTCTTTCGATGTTTTTCCTATCGGTTGGGATAAAACATATTGCTTACGTCATATTCAGGGATATGACGAAATACACTTCTTCGGTGACAAAACGGCCGAAGGCGGTAACGATCACGAGATTTACGAGAGCGATCTGACGATAGGCCATCGTGTCACTTGTCCCAAGGATACCATAAATCAATTGAACGTTCTTATGACACTCGTAAAAGAAAATAGGGAGAAAGAGCAGCTTAGTATTCCGATGCAATGCGTTAAGTAGTTCAGGCCTAGAAGAATAAAGTATTTTTCCAGGTCGAGTTAAATTGTATTTTTAATCAGTATATTTTTGTTAGTATGTTCTTGCACAACAGATTCGTTTCTTTTCATTCTTATTTTTCTTTTCTTTTTTTTTTTTTTTTTATCAATTGTTACATTCCTGACGATGAAAGTAGATTATTTAATTTGATTCTTATATAATTTCAAGTAGAATTCCTCAACACCTAAATTTTTAGATACAGCTGTTTTCACGCACACCTAGAAATATATTTGTACATATGTTCTGTTCTGATAGTTTTACTACTATCAAACTTACACAGAAATAGTAAATATTAAATAAAAAAGATTATTATGAATACAGTAATTTATTTTTTGTCAGAATTAAATTCTATTCTCATATGTCTTACATGTGCATACACGGTCACGCATATATCATTGCATTTACGCATCCATATGTACATATATATTAAAACTACATTAAACAATAACAATGTTAAGATAAAAAACGTTACGGATATTTATTGAAAGACGACATAATATGACGTAGACTGTTTTTTCCGCTGCTGACAAAGTATAAAGGCCCCTCATTAGCATATGCAAATGGCAATTGTGCAAGGTTAATGTTGCAACTGCTGTTGTAATTTCCATAAAACTTTTGATACTAAAATTTTTTACCATTCTAGATAAAACTTTTGTTTTATAATATAAATGCATTTCTGATAATAAAATATTAAGATTATATATATATATAATATATATATATATGTGATCACTTAGTAGATGTTAATATATATATTTTGTGATATATAAAACGTATATAAAATGTATTCCGTTCATGATATGATAGTCTGTGAATTAAACGTTTTGTTATGGCACCGTGAATTTTTACGCTCCTTGGTAGACGGGTACGCGCTTCGCCACGAAAGCGGCGAGTCCTTCGATTCTGTCCTTTGTATCCACGAGTTTGCTGTAGCATTGCCCCTCAATCTCCATACCGTCTTCGAGAGATACCTCCGTGCCTTTAGATATGGCCACTTTCGCCAATCTAAACGACATAAAAGATTAAAAATTTCTATAAATAAATATTGTACTTTGTCAGTAAAAGTTATAAGTAAAATACAAGTGTCAGAGACACACGTATTACTCGTGCTCGATAAGCACAAAAAGATAAACGTGGTGTGATGTGTATTATATAATACGTGATCGACGATGAGTGATCGTATTAACGATTCTGAGTAAGCATCGTCATATTTAAATACCTGTTTCTTGCGGATAATAATGATAATAATTCGCATATTGCAACAAAATTCTACTTTTTGTTTTCTAATTATACCTTTATGTTTTTCATTATTTCTATTTTTTTTTATAACTGATTTTTAATTTTTTATTTTTATTTTACTTTGTTCATTCCTCTTATATCTTTTTATAATTTATATTACACTTTTTTTTAAGTTCTTATAACACTGAATAATTACAATTTTAATTTTTTTAAATGTTTGACATCAGTGACTTACTTAACGCCGATGGGACCATTGGGCAAAATTTCTCTCGCGATTGAGAGAGCCATTTGATAAGCTGCATCGCCGACCTTGTTTTGCGGAACTACCTCGTTCACGAGACCGATCTGCATCGCCTGCTCGCCGTCCAGAATGCGCGCGGTGTAAATCAATTCTTTAGCCTTGGGTACGCCGATTATCCTCGGAAGTCTCTGAGTTCCGCCGGCGCCTGGAATTATGGCCAGTTTCGTCTCTACGAGACCCATCTTTGCCTCGGAAGAGGCGACCCTGATATCGCTGGCTAACGCGAGCTCTAATCCTCCGCCCAGCGCTGCACCGTCGATAGCCGATATCACCGGCGTTGGTAGGGTCTCCACGTTGGTCATGAGATCTCTCAGTGAGGACACGAATCGCTGCACCTCGGAATTGTCCATCTTGAATCTTTCCCGTAGGTCAGCCCCGGCGCAAAACACTTTTGGAATCAGACTGCGTACTATCAACACTCTCAGCTTGCTGTTTTGCCTAATGGAAGCCAGCGCTTCATTCAATTGAGAGATCAAGACCTTGCTGAAAGAATTGCGAGCGGCAGGCCTGTTCAATCCTAATACAGCGATGCCGTTGTCTTTCCCATCTAAATAATTAACGATGACTTCTTTCGCGTCATCCTTAGGACTTGGCATCGCGCTCGTAGTCAATGTCCTCGCGGCACAGGCGCACCAGTGATGAAGAGAGCTGGTAGCTCTGACGCTTGCCACTAACGAAACCATTTTGCAGGAGGCTGTTTAAAATTTATATTCTCTTTAAAATGTGAATCTGGAAAAAAAATGTTTATTTTCCTCAGTAAATGAAAATAATTTCAAATGGATATAAATGAATTCATTTCTAAATTGGCGCTTCTGATTTTTCAAATCCATTTAAACCAAAAAATAGTATATGATAAGCTCAATTTGTATTACAATTTATTCGAATGTAAAAATAATATAATAGGGACATGAATTCATCTCCGAACTCTAAAGCGCCATGCAACTCGGATAAATTAAAATGAATTGTAATTTTTAATTCATTTAAATTAATTTTCGTTTAGTGGGTCGATAAGATATTTGTATCTTATCCGAATTTGAATTATCTTAAATTTTTATCTATCAGTCTGTATTAATGTGTCGTGTATTAAATTGTATGCGATATTATGTATAGTATTTAAGCATATAGCATGCGCATCTAAGTGAATATGATAATCTTACAAAAGAACTTACTTGAATACAACCGACCGGTTTCTCAACTCTCGCACGGCGCCGCAGCACGTAGACGCGAAAAAATTTATGACGTCGTTATCCTTGATCCTATTTCGGGATTACGATGCGCCCAAACAACAGGAGCATTCGCGTCGGAGCGCGCGGATGCGCGCGCGGAAGCGGGGGATGTGTACGCGGGACCGCACGCACACGCGTGTGTAAAACGTAGTTTTTTTTTTTGCGAGCCGCGGTGTTTTGATTTCCGCAGAGACGGATCATGCAGGAATGCCTCCTCGCTCTACGCCGCGACTCCTTGGACCCCGGTCACAGCGGCATTGCAACAGCGGCGGACGACCGGCGGTGGTAGGGATGGATCGAGGAAAGTTCGAGCGAGACGTAATGCGGGGACGAGCCGCGCAAATCCCTCCACGCCCAACAACAACCGCGCCGGAGTCACGGCCACGACTGTTTGCTTTTTACCATTGCGAATGAAAGCAACATTCGCACGTGATGTCGGTGATGTCGGATCCAACGCGCGTGCGCGTACGTCGATCGCGTTCCCGGACAAAATGCCTAATTCGAGTGAAAGAGGGTGCCACTTGATCTTTTCTAGCCTGATCTTTCTTTTCGTTTTTTCCTTCGCTCAGAGAGATACATAGTGGGAATAGTGAGATCGAGCCATCGAGGATGTGGTGGGATGCTGGATGACTGATCGGACCGCACCAAGTTGTTTGGACTTTTTGGGATCTCAGGATATTCGTATACATTTACACATTATGCACAATCACTTATGGACGTTGTTATGAGTACTTATACGACAATATAAACACTTAATCAAAATGAAAGTACAACCTAACGTAAGTACAAGAACAAAATCTATCTATAATATGTTTGATAATTGATATACCAGAATAGCGAAAGCTAAATTTTATATACACCCTTTAAGTAAAAAATTCTTTTTCTTTAAATCACACAAGTTCTTGAAAAATTGATAAAAGAGAGTGTTGCAATGTCTGATAAAGTTTTATGATATCTGCAACAATAGTATTTATTACTAGAAATAGTCATTTTAAGCGGTCGCTCTATTATCTGTCGATGTTATCGCGAGATAATTTTTCGCTGATATATTCGAAGAATACAATTGACGGAAATATATTCTTGACGACAAACTATTATAATTATGTAATGAACAAGGCCACATTAGACTATAGCGAAACCATAGGTAAATTACACGTGCAATCGGCTGGGAATCGTGCTGCAACGGAGCATATCGCCGTAATGCATTCCGAGGAAAACATTTGTATGCAAATTTGTGTTTATTTCTGGCAGCGACGAGATGCTGCCGCGCTAACTTAGCAGAAGGGAATCTTATCGGTGTAGAGATACTTTATTCTTTATTTTTACATATAGTGTATATATATATTATATATACATATATATATATATATGTACACTATATATACTGTAAAAGTAAATGGGTATATATAATTTATATAGCATATATTATTAAAAAAAAAGAATTGGAGACTGTGATTATTTAAAGAATAAAACGTGTCTATTTTAGCATTCAAATAATAAAGCCGTAGATGCCATGAAAAAAATTTTATGTGCCATCGCGATAAAGTAAAAAAAGTATAAAACACGTTTTTCGTATTGCAATATTTATACGTTAATAACGGCGTAACCTCATTACAGCGAGGACTGCAACTGCGGTGAAATTTCCCTTATAATGAAAGTTGAGAAATCCGTCGATGTAATATTGTACCTATATCGTTACGTTGCTGATTTAATGTATTGACACATCGATAAACGCACTTAATTTAAAGATTATTTAACTTTTACCATGACTTGTATATACAAAGTGCATATCTTATCTGAAACGCATATATACAGAGTGTTTATTTTATGTACGTTTATATAATTGTAAATTTACCGACTGTCTTTGTATTTTGAAATGCAAGGTATTTTAAATTTTTCACGTAAATTTGCGTAATCAATATTAACATTAATATATACATATACATATATATGTATATATGTATATATATTAAGTCACGATAAAAATTAAATAATCTTTAAATTAAACGCTATCGATGTGTGTCATTAAATCAGCAACGTAATATATATTAATATTAATATATATTATCATAAAATTAATATAAAATACAACGAAATTACGAAATCTTTTTTTCATTTGTAAAGTAGGGACTTAACATAAAAAGGAATATAAGAATAAATACATCACTTGTCGTGTATACATTTTATATTCTAATATTCTGGCAATAGATTTCTGTTTACAATTATCTAAACAGAACGTCCTATTTCAAATAATGGCTTGCAATCTACGTGTTTCGACATTTAACCGCATTCCTAGAATACATATATCAGACTTTCTGAAGACGAATTACAAACTATATGACAAATAAATAAATAAATAAACAATAAATAAAGTACGATTGAAATTCGTCCAACGTGAAACTCGTATGTAAGATGTCCCTCTTCTGCCGCATTTCAAAATCTTTCGAGAATCAATTTTTCCTTAGCGAAAATATTTGAGAGAAATTAGCATTGATTGTAATTTTTATCTTTAGCACCTACAGACCTAAAGCCACGTGGAATTAATTAAAATATATTAATCGAATGTAATTTTGTCATTTTTTGGTCAGATTTTTTTGCTGCAGCTCATTATCAGTTCGCCAGAAACTTCGCCAGAAACTTAATTTTTAATTGTTAATTGAGGAATTATTGATGCCTCGACATTTCTCTCGAGGAAAAATTGATTCCGAATTGATCGAGCGATCTGTCATTAAAAAAAAATAACGCAGTATAAGTGGGACACCGTGTATGCGTTTTCAAATGTTACTTTCTCTCGCGAGTAAAAAAAATCGATTTATTAATAAGAATCCAATTACGATTAATCCGCCGAAGTTATCGCGCAGCTTTCGCGCGCGACTCGATGATAGATGTATAAACCCGTCAAACGATATGCGCGTTGCATTGGATCCTTGATAGAGGATTCCTCATGGATCGCTTCTCACTTCGATCAGTGATTACTGACGGTTTCAGTTGGACTAAGGAGCGGCAGGAGTATGTCGTTTAAGCTGCAGGTGAGACAGGCGGCGGTCGAAGCATTGACCTGGTGGCCGAGGAAAGTTTCTGCGACACCAAATGCGCGATATGCGACGATCTCTTCCACACAAACTCCCGCGTTCTGTCGTGGTCGTCCTGGCTTTCCACTCGAACCTGATTTAAAAAAAAAAAGGAAAAAAACATACGATTTAATACGTGAATACAAACAAGTGTTAAGCAAACAGAGTAGCTGCTGTTTGTAGCTGTTCTTAACTGTTTCGTGATATGTCACGTCGACTTTCGTTTCAAGTCTGAGATAAAGATTTTACATCGAGTTAAAACGAATCGACACTTTTAAATCAAATAATAAACATTTTGATTTTATTGGACACGCTGACTGTGGCACAAAATTGATAATATGTACAAATTACATACAATTTAGAAAAAAAAATGAGATTTCTAAAAAATACTTCTCTATAATTTAAAATATACGTACATTTTTATTTTCTTGCGATGAGTTTATCATTTGAAACGTTTACAATCCATATAAAATATTCCAGATTTGTCGTTAAATAATATTCTAAAAATTTCTTTAAATTTGTAATAAATAATTGCGTGAAAAATGTATTATTTAATTGTATAACTTGGAATGTCAATTCTTTATTAGTAAAATCAGTAAAATCAAGAAATATCAAGAAGAAGGTTTTTAGGAATCCAGCTCGTACAGTCAAACATACACACAAAACCATCTGCTTATTGACTTGACATTCCAGTTCCGTGGTATTCACGCGTTGCTATAACTGTTTTTCCCCTCTGTCGACGTACCTGTTTAGGTTGCAAAACCCGAATAGAATGCAGTGTCGCTGCACCGCCGTGTAACACACGCAGGCTCAGCTTGCCAGACATCTCGGCCGTAGTGGCGGTCGCACTTCTCAACTCCTTCTTCGCGGCCCTGCCGAACTCCTTCTCGACCTTTAGCACCAGCGGTCCCAGGCTGAACTTGGTCTTTATTGTCGTGTGATCGCTCATCATGTTGACCGATACGTCGCCTGTCCTCTGCAGGGACGCCAATCCGTACAGAGTGGCTTTTGCTTTTGGTCTGCTCTTAGACTTGGTCTAAAAAAAATCATAAGAAAATTCATTGAATACTCACGTCGAACAATTTTCATTATTTTCAAATATCTATATAGATTCGGATACAGATTTATATACGTAACAGAAAAAATGTGACGTTTACGAATATTTATCAATTTTTAATTACCTTGTTCTTGTTATTGCTTTGATTCTTCGTCTTGTTCTTCGTTCGTTTGCGGTTCTTGTTAGAGTTCTTGTTGTTCTTGTTGGACGTACGTCTGTGGCTAGATCTCACGCTGGTTTCTGTGGGAGATTCCAGTGAAATCGGTTCTTTTTTTGTCTCGCTTATTTGCGTTACGACAGATTCAATGGTCTGCGTGGCTTTCTGCAAACATCGTACATACATACTGAACATATTTATTGAAGGTACATATAGAATATTCGTACTTACAAATAAATTTATCGACATATATGACAGTTTTCTATAATTTTTAAACTCAAAATTTTTATTTTTAACAGCATATCAAAATTCTACCATCTATTCCAATTTTTTAATGTTTCTGAACAAAGTTTCGTTATTTAATTAGTCTTCAAAAATTTAATTGGTGAGACGTTTTCTATTTTAAAAAAATGTTAGTATCTCTTTCTCTCAATATTGTCATTAAAAGTCAATATTTAAATTTGGTGTTTTGCGAGAGTATTAATTACTTTTGAAAATGATTGCGAATCGTACCTCGACGTCATTTTCATTGTCACTCCTTTCAGTGACAGCGGACGTATCAATCGGCCTTGAGGCGCTCTTCTTGGTGCCATTCTTGGTGCCCTTCCTTTTAGACTTGTTTTTATTCTTGCTCGTCTTGGAGTTTGAATTTGAATTCGTCAGTTTTACAGTCACCGGCTCGTAATTGGCACGCAGAATATTGTTGATCTTGCCGAGAATATTGTCGACGAAACGATTGTATTTTGCCACATAAATCGCTGGCACGTGACCACTCGATTCGGAGTCCATGCCACCTAAACCGATAGAAATTGCATCAGTCATATAGTTTCTACTTTCCCGGATATTTCTCGCGAAAGTCCACACGTTATCTTTAACATTAGAACGGTATTTGCATTCTGAGATTATTCAAATGTCGCAACACTACCTATAAAATATATTAATCCTTTTACTTAAAATGATTAATTATTTTAAATCCTGCAAGTCTTTGACTAATTTCTATTGATAGCGGTGATCAACACGGACGATTAATCATGAATTTGTATAAATTTTATATATTGTATAATTAAAACAGATGTTGCTATTCTATATTGTGAATGTATTATATTAATATAATATATTCTGTAATTTTGTGTTATCGTCACCGCTACCAGCCCAAGCATTATTGCTTGGCAACCTCTTTTCCGAAAGCCATCAGTTTACAAGTGGCGAATCTTCAGAGATACCAAAATCGCCCGTTATCAATCGAGGGGTCGCGGGAATTCTATAAAAATTTCTAGGTAAACCCGTGAGCAGGAGAGAGCGGTTTTTGGGAATGCGTCCCGAATGCGTCCTTGAAATCACTTTTCGTGAGATCATTTCGTCTCGTCCGGGTCATCGACCAGGGTGGGACTGCGCCCGACGTGCTGCCTTCCGTAGCTTGACGTACCGTCTCTGGGTTTTAATGAAGGGAAACGCATTCCTCTCCCCGCTGATTACCTTGGAAGGAAGTCAGCAGTTGTTGATCGAGGAGGAGCCTACTTAAAGCGACGACAATGTTAACGGTATATCGGAATCCTTCGGCGCGGCCAAACTGGTCCCCGATCTAGGCCATGACCTCCTTCCTTGCTACATAACTCACCTACAGACCCATCTAGCCGCGCAGGTCCATCCAACTGCTGCCTACCTAAAAACTCTCCCCCGGTCGTTGCACCTCCCGCAGCACGTAAGCACGACTTTCTTTCGGACGTCATGACGCCGTGCCACGCCGCGATGAAAATCTCATGCCACGGACAATATCAAGGTCGTCTACTTCTGGCACAAACGGAGGCGTTGAATGCCGAGGTCTCGGTCGAGGTTCGATCAGAGCCTCTCGATAACGCATGCACAATAATAGCCCCTCTGTATTCCCGAGAAATCTTTGGCTCGAGAATCTTTTCTCTGTATTCTAGAGCTGAATTCTTTACACGACGCGACTGACCCGTAATGGTTCTTCTTCAAAAGGCATTTTATGATTTTAAAACAAAAATGATACGATAAAAGATTTGGCATATGCACATTTATCTTTATAGACTATAAATGCTCGTTAAACTTAAAAGATTTTAGCAAAACCAAATAACGAACATGTTATGTGAGACGACAATGCTTTTTATTCGAAGTCCTTTGGAATAAACTCTTTAAATTAAAAGAATTTACATAACATTTTCAAAAATGTGATTGATTACTCAATATATTCATCATCTTGTTATGTATCTATTGAATAAAAGTAAATGTATTTCTTACATGTCTCATAATTACGATCTTGATCTTTATCTGGTTCTTATTTTTAGATTTTATTTTCCGATTCATTTCATATTTATTTTCACTTATTTGCTTGCTTTTTTTTTTAATAATTAATTTAATGTTAAATATTGATATATTCAAGCAATATAGTTTGCTATAGTAATTATTTAAAGTAAAAGATATCAAGAGCCTATTTTATCTTACATGTTTATAATATTCAAACGATAATATGATATTTCATCTATTGCAATCAAATATTCTAGGAAGAAACAGTACGTCATTAATTTAGTGTAAGACATAAAAATTTTCGTCTTCTCACCTTCGAGGAACGAAACAGGTCAGTCGGATCCACATACACATGCACAAAGACACACGGAAAGATTAAGAGCGATCGTATATTAAATCACGGTTTAGGCGTGTCTCGTGACAGATACCGAAGGACATCAGCTTCGTAACTTTGGCTGTGGGTCAGGGTCGCAGTCGGAGGAGGCTCTTCCGGTACATCGCTTGCGCGTTCTCCGGGTCGGTGGCCTCGTTTCTTTTTCGACCGGCTACTCCCGGTGAAAGCCGGGAAAAAATTTCAACGCGGTCACACCTTTGTTGGATTTAACCCGGCACTCATGTAGAAAGTTAATTGGATGTGGCGCGTGACGGTTAATTAAGAATCTCCGTTCATAAACTGATGGCGATTTGTTCGATCGAACCTTCGGCGATTTTGTTCCTGCTACCTTCTCTTTAAGTTTTAAGTATCGATTTATTAAATGAATCGAAGACTGAATATACCGAAATGATATCTGTAGTTAACGATAATGCTCGTATATGCAATGCAAATGTTCAGAAATATTTAAATATCTATAAATGTTCAAATCGCAATCCCACTATAAGCGCACGGTGTCATCTATTGTAAATACGAACCAGCGAAAGACAGAAAAATCTAAGTAGAGAGCTACTAAAAATACAGCCAATATATATGTAGGACAAATCATATAAAAGCGAATTATTTAAGATAGAATCTAAGAATAGAGGAAACTATAAATAACAAAAGAAACATCTAGAGCGTTCTAATAAAAAAAAAGAGAGGATTGCAGAATGTGCCGCTGGATCAAATCTTTCTTTTTTGCTTGGTTATCAGCTACTCTTCTTATCAACTACTAGTTAGTTACTAACTACTAATTTTACTATCTACTTAGGGGTACGGGAGGGACGTACGTTAAGGAACATGGAAGGGAGGAGAAATGGAAAAATGTCGTGCTACTGTCCAGGTACACGTTGTTGCAGTCGATCGTCCAAAACAAACCGTCCACCAAACACGCGATTATCTACTGGCAGATAGATAAAACTAAGAAACAGATAATTGAAGCGACAGCAGGCTACGGTTTCATAACAAACGAGTGATAAGAAAAAAAAAGCAAGTAGGGTTGAATTGATACAAGATATCAGGAAAAGAGAAATGCCGCTATCTATCGCTGTAATGCATTCAAATAGCCAGGCGGGTTACTGCACGTCACGTCACAAGAAGACGGAGAACACACGCCCTCAGCCGAAGATCGAGATCGATAATTTCATCGAGAAGATACGAATTTCCGAAGTCACGGATGCGCGAAAGCAACTCTTCCGTTGATCCTCAACGGTCGGAAACGCTTTTTCCCACATCCGCGGCATCGAAAGTCGATCCAAATTGAAATTATCCTAATCTCCAGTCTCGAGCGAAAGAGATTCGCGATTTGAGATTTGTTGAAGGAAGGAAAACAGAGAGAATTCATCCTCCTGGATCACGCGTATCGCGAGTGTATCTGGACACAAACACGTACGACTGATTCAATATGCGACTGGACAATGGTGAATGAAATAAATAGGCGGTACACATAACTTTGTAAAAATAATAAATTATTTGTATTTTGCAATCCAGAACGGACAATGTCTCTGTACAAGTCTTGGTCTAGAGTAGAGAAACATCGTAAACAGACATATCTCTCGATTCGCGCGGAGCAATCGACACCGTCATCGACCGTGTTTAATCTGGCAGCTGATAAGCGACTTTAATAGAAACGCGATGTAAAATATAAATCTATGTGATGTAAAATGAAATAAATTTTCTTTCGAAATAAATTTTTTTACGATTAAATATATGTATTTACACTGAAATATGTTGGGAGGCTTAATTAGTCATCTGCCAGATTCAACATCTTATTGCTAATTCGACAGAACAGAAACAGGACGAAATTAGTTTCTCGTTCTGTTTTCTAATGTGGGCGATTTCGATGTCTCTTGATCCTGTAGACGAGACTATGATATCTCTAGATCTCGGTCTCTCTTTCTCTCTCATGCACGCGCATTCCCCTTCCGTTCTCCTCCTTTCTATCTCTCTTTCTCTCTCTTTTTCTCTTGTTTATTACTTATTTTATTGACAGCAGATGGATAACGAATATTGGAAAAAGGAGAAAAATACGTGACGTGAGGTCACCAAGCCAAAGCATTTCAATGCTACTCCATGCAACAAGGATCCAAAATAGATACTAAAAGACACTTTCTAAAAAGTTTCTGAAAAAACCTAAAAAAAGCCTAAAAAATTAGCACGTGTCTTAGACAAAATATCTAAAAAATATTTAAAAGATTAGAGAGAAACCAAAGGATTACAAAGAGACCGGACGTGTCAGTCTGTGGTGCGATGCGACATGCGATGGGACTTTAAATATAGAGATATTGTCGTTAATAAATATAATAAATAACTAATACTTGAAAAAAATTTAGAGTGAAATTATCATTTAGCGCACAAAACTAAAGTAGCAGAAAATTTGATTCTGCTCGCATGAAAACTTAGAGTGTGGATTTTCTATCATCATTGAATAACTTGTCGAGAAAAAATTTCTCAATCCGATCGCCCGATCAAGAAACTATCACGTGGATGTAGTGTAACAAATTCATAGTTCCTCTTCTCGTTCTTCATGTCATCACAAAACTAAGAATGTTATGAATTTATGTTAAAAGAAAGAATTACATAAATTATCGAAAAATTAAAGAAAAACTATATACATAAATTATATATATAAATATCGTGTGACTAATAAAATTATGTCGATACTAAAAAGTTTATTAAAATTCTAAATGATAATTTTTTCAATGTTCAGTTTGCATTTACTTAAAAAAATTAAAAATAATATTAATAAAATTTATATATATATATATATTGAGTTATATGTATTTTAGTTATACATATAATTCATTGCTATACGTAAAATATAAAGAGATAATAAAAATTTTTTAATTGTAAGAAATGATATGAGAACGGCAAGATCAATTAGTACAGCATAGTACTCTTCTTGCGTTTTCGTAGATTTGTGAGTTTCGTTTCATCCACAAGTTTTTTCGTAAAATCCCACAAAGGCACAGTTCTTACATTCAAGAGGCATAAAATTAACTAAACACGCCCTTCAAGGGGATGTGAAAATGAAACGAAATAAATAAAATAAATAAAATGAATTCCGTTCCACGAGCGAGCATCGCGATCGGGCACACAAGGTCGCTTTAATAATCGATCTCATGAGACCGATATTCAAAACGCTCGATGGAATCGACAGACAGTCATCGATGTGCAACGAATCGATGTCCACGAAACTTCCAAGAAATTTCCGTGCCAAGAGTCAAACGACTCAACAGCAAAGAGAACGCGCGAGGTCAAAGGATCACGTTGCACTTGTCACCGGGCTTTTTCGGCAATTCGACCTAAACACTCTTCGATGCGGTGGCGGAAGAAGAAGAAGAAGAAGAAGAAGAAGAAGAGGATGAAGAAGAGGAAGAAACCGACCGTGCGATCGACTTGCGCGACTTGCGAGTGTGCTTGACGCTATGTTTCTTGGCCTTCTTGCCCTTGAACTCACGTGCGTGCCTAGCGTCGGCGATGTCGGCGATATCATCCACTTCGTCGTCGTCATCGTCGTCGTCGTCGTCGTCGTCATCGTCGTCATCATCATCGTCGTCGTCATCGTCCGTGATGTCTAGATCTACATCATCGTCGTCGTCGTCATCGTCATCGTCGTCGTCCTCGTCGCTGGCCGGAGCAGCCGCCGCGACGCCGCCGGGCGAAACCCCAACGGCCTGGACTGATACCGGATTCGAGACGGACTCGGCACCTTCGAGCGTCGACTCGTGAATGCTGGATGCCTGACCCTCGGTGTCGCTCGCCTCCTCATCCTCGTAACTGCCGGTATCGTCCTCGGCCGTCTCACTCGACGCGGCATCCTCCGCAGCTTCCTCGCCAGCCTGATTCAGATCAGCCGCCACGGCGAGCGGCACCTGCGGCGAATTGACGGGGGTGGGTGGAGGCGTTACGGCGGATGCGACGGGTGCCGGTGAAGCGGCTTCGTCCTCGTCATCATCATCGTCGTCCTCTCCTGCAAATTGATAAAGGTACGTTATACATATGTGGCCAATATATTTTATTAGCGGTGTTATATTATTAGATCGGGCGAAATGAATGATGAAGTAATGAACGAAAGCAAAACTCTACTTGAACATTAGAAAATTACAATTAATTTATTTATCTATCATGAATAGCTTTAATATAAAAAAAACTCACTCAAGCTATTACAAAAAATACGATGTAAATGTAGAAAGAAACTGTACAACGTCATTAAAACATTGCAAAACTATACTACAAAGTGTGCACGGGTATCAACTTTATTATTATCTCTTATAAGTTCACGCATTCGTGATTTTAACGCACTCTGCATAAGAGACGGCCGAGGGGATCGAGAGAACTCGGATTATCTTTTGGTATTCAGGTCAATGCGAAGAAGTAGCGCGTAGAAATTTTTTTCCGAACCGAGATCGCTGTCGATTTATGTTAATTTGGACGAGTCAAAGTACCCTCTACCGTTATAACGCTCAAGCATATGTGAGTGAGAAAGAGAGATTCTCAGGCAATACGAAGCTTCGCGTTTACATAACGGTGTGTGTCAGTTTGCAAGATTTCCTATTGTCTGAGATTCGACGGAAAAGAAACTGATGCATCGTCATGTACTTACGCGTGAATCGAAGAAAGAATAGAATCGATTTATTATTCAATACTCTCAGACAGAGACAAGTTTATATGTGACTCATCATTCAATACAAGAGAATCAAATTAAGCCATTCATAAAATGCATTATTGACAAGAAGATGATTTTGTATTTAGGAAAAATTTAGCAAATGTTTATTCAGTATCAAGTTTCTGTTATCCTTCCGTTTTTTTTTATGTATATAAGAGTTTTAGTAATTTATTTGCTATTGGAATATCAAGTTTATATAACGGTACGCTTGTTAATGTACACATTAATTAATTAAGAAATACCGCCGAATTAAGAGTCTATCTATATCTTTATCTGAATCTTTAATTTCTCATTTTGAATTTAATTCGTTTCGTGTTTTCTTATCTTTAATTGTTTAAGCTATCAATATCCATCTTTCTTATTCGAGAGCGCGTTCTCTTTGCTTTCTTTGTTAAGATTCTTTGATTAGACAAATATCGTAAGGAATCGCGCGCAATGATGTACGCAATGTTGGAGAACAATTAAATGCTGTCGATTCCTCACCTCCAAGTATATCTTCGATGAAACGCTCCAAATAATCGCCTTCATCGTCGTCGTCGTCGTCGTCGTCATCATCGTCATCGTCGTCGTCGTCGTCGTCGTCGTCGTCAGTGATATCTAAATCAACGTCGTCGTCATCGTCGTCGTCGTCATCATCGTCGGTGGCGGCTGGCGCCGCGGACGCTTGCCTCCCGGTCGCAACAACATTCTGAGTCGACACCTTGCTGTCAGCGATCTTGGGCACCGGCGAGGCGAGTGCCCCTATCGCCAGACAGCACAGCAACATCAGCACTGCCACTAGTCGCATGGCTCTGCAAAAGCAAATAGACGTATAGACATAGGAAGTAGAATTACTTGTCATTTTTTGCGAACGGGTATTGTGTATAAATCTAATTATCTTATTCAACGTTTAGAATTGAAATAATAATTGCGCAATGTACCCTTCACGCAAGTGAAGTTTATCGTTTAGAATCACATTTTTGTTTGCAAAAAATCACTTCTCCCCAGCTTAGCTCTTAAATATCAGGTAATAATATTTTTTTAGAAATGGCAAAACCAGGTGGAATTGATTAGATCCTATAATAAATTCCACTTGTAGTAATCCTTTTATCTATATTTATTAAATAAATGCAAGAAATACTATTGATCTGGGACATCCTATTAGCCGGGGATTACAAGAGATCACCGATAAAATGACAGCAGGACATCGACGATGATAATTCGCTCATGTTACCCGTTATGAACGACACGTGCGACTTGTTAGAACGTTATTCGTGGCGCGATACGGTAACCCGGGCTATATACAAGTTAACCGTAAGGAATCGCGCCTTTTTCCGCCTGCAGAAGAGACACTCTCCGTGTCATGACCGACGATCAATCGTGCGGTCGCGAGGCAGACAGTTCCCATAGTATCTCGTGGCATTCCCGTGCGTATTCTTTCAACTTTCAAAGCACGAGCACGCAAAACGTCGCGGGAAGAGATTTATGAGCCGCATTGCAATAAACCGGATGTCTCGATTGGAAGGGAATAGCGTTACGGATAGAATAACAACGGTAGTCGATTACATCTTCGTGCTTCTTTCTAGTCATTTCACAGTCGAATCTGTAGGGAAGATAAGGGAGAGATTGGAATAATGTAAATGTAAATGAATAATGTGTAATGCTATGATGCGCATCGACAAAGAATACAAAAAAGTTACGAACAATGCAGAAATAAATTCCTTGCCAACCTATATAATTAATTTAGTTTATAAAAAATTGACATAGAGAACTTATTTTATCACGATTCGTGAATGATCTTTTTCCAAAAATTGAAAGATATGATATTAATAAAAATGGAATTTTTTAAAAATATTTGTCACGTAAGGGGATGATCGAATTTGAAGTTGAGTAAAGTTTTGCTTTTTTAACATTTAAAAAATAAATGAATAGAAAATTAATAAGAGAATTGATCATAAACACACGATTAATAGTTCTTAAATTTTTTTTCTATGAACTCTTATCGACAAGAATATATAAACAATATTTTTGTCGTTTTCGGTTTAAAAAAAGTAATTGAATGATTTTTTGTTACCTTTTGCTAAAAAAAGGTAAAAATGTGGAACAAGTTGCCTCACATTAGCTCCGCGATTCGATAGCAACTGCAGCGTCGGTACCCGGAAGTAACTCTGCGACGAGTCAGAAGGAGATTCAACCGGATGAGAAACCAAGTTCACAACGAATCCTCCGGACGCGAATACGTCACACGAAGACTACCTCACTGTATTAGCGTCGCACACAGTATCACTCAGCTCTCAGGGAAATCTTGCCTTCGATTAACTCGATCGGGCGGCGGAGGAACGAGGAAGGGAATAGGCACCAACGTGCAGTCGGTCAAGGTCGTTTGTAGGTCCGGTTACCGGAAATCGTTCTCAGTTCCGATTCAGTTCGACGCCTCCTAACAGGAGGTGGCAGGCACTTTGTTCTCCACTTTATGCTGTATATATCCTGGTATTCCTTGGGAACTCACCTCTATTTCTTTCTTCCTCTCTCTTTTTTTTCTACTCTCCTTTTCTACGTCTTTTCTTGAGGTAGACGATCGACGATGACACGCGTATACGTCCCGGTTCTTCCACCGATCGATCCACCGAGCGGCCCGGTGAGAGTGTTAAAACAGACGAGGCGGTCGCGATGCGACCCTTTTATACCGACCCGCACCTCCACCTCCTTTCATACTCCTTCGTCGTCCTCCTTCTGGTCGTCGTCATGCTCTTCCTGCGTTCATTCGCACTATACCTACCTACCTACCTACCTACCTACCTTCTGTTCTCCACGTGGCCCGAGCGTTTTCTCCCTTTCTGAAACGTGCGTGAGCGCATTGTAGACATGAGTATTTTACACCTATAAAGATCACTAGGAATCTCACAGTTTCCGCGATTTATCCACAAACGAAGAGAGAGAAAGAGAAGAGAGGGAAGACGGGAAATACAGCAAAGTACTTATTTAAATTTTCTCTTATTGTTAGCATGTGTACCAACGCCCACTTTCCATAATACATTCTTACATCTAATACTTGATATCCTATTTCTTACATGATCATATTTATTTTCCTCATTATAAGAGTCGCGTTTTATTCTATATATTTATGATTTCTAATTATTTTCGTATAAAAAATTCAATTATGTCTGTCTGATATATTACACTAAAGTCTTGCATTAAAGCTTCACTACCTATATATTTATCTTAGCAATAAAAAAAAGGGATACTTCTATATAAAAAATTTTAATATTTCAAGAAATTTATAGGATTTTTAAGAATTCGTTAAAACACTGAGGTTTATTAAAACTGTTAAATTTTCTGATTTTCAAGATTAATGCCCGTCTGCGTGGGCATTATTCAAAGTGAAAATCTGCGATAACTAATTGCGTGATTGCAATAACATATTGCGAGAAAGAGCATTAAATACTCTATCGTAAAACAGATCTGATAAATCAAGCGCGCATTAAAAGATCATTGTCACTCTCGCTCCTTCTGGCGAAATGTTTTAATACTTCGTTTGATGACGCTGCTTATTTGATGTGCTACTTTCGTGATAAATAATGCATCACCCGGATCGACATTGCCAGGATGTTTCGTTCGATCTTGAAGCGGCTAATTAGCAACAGTTGCTTCGCATATGGATGATTGGCGCTGCTTAATGCGAACGATCACAGATATAAAATGATTGCACTGATTAATTGACAATCGTATTTTGTGTGTATCGGACATATTTATTAAAAATGACTTTCTTATGATTCGAATAGATGTTCAATGTCGAGTTAATCATCTGGACATACAAGTTGAGTACTATATCACTATAAGTACTAAAATCACGAAAATAAAATGGACGATTAACTCAAAGAGTGGTTGTTAAAAACGTTAAAATTCAGTCTCTTCAAAATAATATTATCTATAAAAAATATTATATAGACACATAACTATATGTATAATAATACTAGCTAAGACAATTTTTATAATCGGTTTTATCTAGATTTACAATTACTTATCTATTCTAGTTATCTGTCTTTTCTATGCTCTATATTTATTTATATATAATTTTTATTAATATTTCAGGTAAAGATGACATTTTGCAATTAATAAGAACCTTCATATAAACTAATGAATCCGTCCGGCGATATAGAACACAGAGAGCGAGAGTGTATAGACTCGCAAACTCTTATTCTCTTCTCTTCTCTGATCAATTTCGTTTGCAGCTGAAGTCTTAATGGACATATTTATATGACCTAAATATAATTCTAATATCCAATACAAATTTTAGAAAAATAATTTAAAATCTTGAAAAGATCGTAAAACTGTTAAGCTAGGCATTTAACTCTAACGGGATTAAGCTTGATATAAAATATCTGATAGTTTATTTATATCTTCCATTGCATTATACTTGCTGCAAAAATTCTCATGTTTTCATAAATACGTTTTCTAAATCTGGCAAGTAAATCTTGAATGCGGAAGCTCAATTGATATCCAGCGTTGTTTTTTGTTACTCGGACAATAATCAACATCTTTCAGCTGTATTATCAAGAGTCTTGACTAGCGTTAAAGACTAAAACGAGAATCACAGAAATGAAACGTTCGCCTCAAGAACGAGGAGCGAAAGCAACGCGCTCGATCGTCATCGGGCCGGTCGATCGTCTAACTGTAAATACTGAGCAACTTCTTCCTGCGGATGGCAATAGTAGTAGCTACTGATGGATCGATCATATACCGCCAGCATCCGCTCTGTCTAATGCCCGAAGCGACGACGCTGGATTTTTATGCGATACATTCCCGTTTGTGGAACGCCGGACGATTTCACGCTTCGAGACTACTCCCGACGATCTTCGTAGATCTAATACACACGCGGCGGTCTTTCTCATTCTCGGTGTGTTCATCGTAATATATATATATATATTTTGTACGTCTGCTGATTGAAAAAAACTCCGAAAAAAATTTCCAATCTAAGATGAGACTTTTAGAGAAAAAGAAGTTGAATTTTATTAAAATATACAGGACTTATTAAATTTATTCTCTCTCTCATTTGATTCTTCAATTCGATTCGAATAGTCTTTCTTAGTACCGAATGATATCTCATTTTTATTATCATCATGATAAATGATGAAAACCTATAAAAGTCAGACGATAATAGAGCGCGATTGCATTCGAGTGACATGGATCTACGAAACGAACAATAATGATGTTCGATTAACTCCCAATCAAATTAATCGTGATAGTATTACACATCAATTAGTTGCAATTGTATAGCAGATCAATTGCAGGATTCTCTTTAATTTTATTGTAATTAACACTACAATTGTTCTAACTTTTCAAACATCTTTAAATTATATTTATGACATTTAAACGATCTCAAAAAAAAAAAACGATCGCGATGCATATATCGTATTGTAATACATTTTCATTGTTACATTTATTATGTGAAAAAGATATTACGATAAGAATATTCTTATCTATATTTTATTGTCGCATTTAAATATTTTACACTTTGACATTTATACAATCGGAATTGAAAGTAAATTCTAAGAAATTCGGATATTTTTTGTTGTTTGAAAATAGACGTTTATTTCTGAATAAAATTTTGACAATAAAAATAGAATGAGAATTGAAAATAAATTCAATGGAAGACTTCTATTATTTGTTGACGACGATCGAAAGGAAAACAGACTCTCTGATCAATAATAAATCTAAAAATATATATCGGCGATCATCGAAATTAAAAAAAATATTGAAAAAGATCTGATTCTTTCTTTATTATTTATATCAAGTGTATGAAGTTCTTCTGCAAATTATCAAAATTTTTGCCAAGGCGAAAGCGCATCTGAATCATCTAGCACGGAATCCGCCACCAAGAGATATTTTCCAGATAGTAGTGGGCGCGCGGCGTGAACAGCGACGATATCCGGTGCGAATCGCTCGCTCGCGTGGATCATCGAGCTCTCGGGCTCGCCGACTCTCCATTCTGGCTGGAATATGGGATTTGGTGTCACAACGAGGCAGAGAAGTAGTCCGCGGCTACGTGAATTAGTAATCAGGATGTGTGTCTCGCGCGAGTGGCGAACGCATTTTCGTATACGCACGCCCGTGAGGAGGGGGCGGAGAACGGAGAAGCGAAACAAGTGAAAGAGTGTGAGAAAAGAGAAAGAGAGAGAGAGAAAGAAAAGATAAAATAAAGAACGAAGTGACGGTACAATTCACACATGCATTCTTCGCGGTGTCGTCGAAAACGCCATTCATTATTCATTGATTCGCGCGCAAGGATTGCAAAACGGGGAGAATCACGTGCTCAAATTTCTCGATTGAAAAAAAATCGAATTGGCACACCAATTGAATTTCCGTAGGCTAATTATATATTAAGAATTATTCCTGTGTAATAAATAATAAATTCATATATTTCCCTCGTACTTAAATAAGTAATTAACATGAGTTACATTTCTTACAAATTTTATTGGAACAAGGTCTGCAAACCACAAGCTTCTTAAAATAGATTAATTCAAATACATTCATTCTAAAACGGTTGAATTTGTCAGTGTAGTCTGTTCGCACTTTTGTTGTACATAAAAGGCTAAGTAAGGCCTATATTGCTATTCACATTTTCTTACGAATGGCTTTACGAATTTTGTTGGAATTTATTTTTTCATTATTTGTATAACATCCTCATCGTGCATCACATGTTGCAGTCCTACTCGCTGAGGCGAATATTTAGTACTTGTGCCCTAAAAAAACACAATTTACGTGTATTCAGAAACTAGATTACTAATATTCTTAATTATATCAATACAGAATATCGATATACATTATGGATATCTAGTAACTTACCCACACAAGGGCATATTTGAATTGTTGAGCGAGAGTACGGTGAATCGCATGACACACATGCTCCACTGTCACCCCTTTTCTCAATATTAAACCGTCATCAAAATCAGGTGGTTGTCCAGGTTTTTTTGTATACACCCTTATCAAACTCAAGTATTCCCATAATATTTCCAGCAGAAAGTCGAGATTTAACTTCATATTACAACTGTAAGAAACAAAATTACGACTAGTAAAAGATATTCAAAAAAACATAAAGACTCATGTTTGTGAAAATATTTTGAACGTTTTATGTCTTACCTAACTACGACACTATTGGGTTGCCTAGCGATTCGATCGACTTCCTCTATCGATATTTGATCTATTTTGTTATATACATAAAGGCAGGGCAAGTACACTCGATTCGCGTTAATGACATCGATCAATTCATCAGCGCTGTAGTCCTCGCGAAACAGCACCTCGGCGTTGAAGATTTTATATTCATGTAGAATCATTTGAACTAGTTTTTCATCTACTTTTGTCAAGGGACATGTCGAGTTGAAGGCTAAACCACCGCCCTTCTTCACCTTAAAATATATATTCGGCTTTTTCTTGTTAAGTCTTATGCCAACCGATTCCAACTCTTTTTCCAACAGTTGTCGCTGAACGTCTTGCTTGGTTGCATCCAACATCATAAGTACCAAATCTGCCGTTCTAGCGACAGATATGACCTGCCTCCCTCGTCCTTTTCCCTACGATAATTCAGAAAACTCATTCGACATAAAAATAATGATGTCCCGAAAAACTATTTTCAGTATGTATAATCAGTTTACCTGTGCCGCTCCTTCGATTATACCAGGCAAATCCAGCAATTGTATATTGGCACCTTTGTACTCGATGACACCAGGGATACATGTCAGGGTGGTAAATTCGTAAGACGCAGCCTCCGATTGAGTGGCGGTCAAAGTACTGAGTAGAGTCGATTTGCCAACCGACGGGAAGCCGATTAATGCAACTCTGGCGTCGCCCGATTTCAGCACGTCGAAACCTTCGCCCTTCTCCGACTTTTTCGCCGGTTCCAGAAGCTGGGACCTATACTTGGCGAGTTTCGCTTTCAGCAAGCCCAAATGATACTCGGTGGCTGTAATTAAATTTCGCAACTACAATTGTCTCACTCACGTAAAAATCTCTCTTTTTTTTTATGCCTTCTCGCTTAGTCGTGTGTCACAACCGCAATATTGAAAAAATGGTGCGGAAAGCAGGTTAAGGAAGGCAACAACAACGTCAGCTCGCGATGCTCACCCTTGTTCTTCTGCGTACGCGCGATCTCCTTCTCGATTTCCGAGATCTTCTCCAGTATCCCCATCGCGATGCTGAAATTCGCTCGCAATAATTATTTATTACATTTATTGAAGAATCAGCATTCGACTGACGCGTGCAGCGGGGTGACAATTCAGTGTCGAGCGCCGACATCTGTCTAAAGCGAGAAAGTGAGAAGGCCCTCTACCAGAATAATCGTAAACTAGGGATCTTTTCTGAGTTTGGGAACGCAATAGATAACAACTTTGACTCAAAGGATAAAAAGAGCTCTCTCTGCTGGAATAATTCTGAATTACAAATTCTTTGTTCCTTCGGGAGAGGTTATAGAGACGCCACTCGTGGTGAATTTTCTCAACTCGTGGGGCTCTTGAGAGGAAGCCGACTCGTGGCCGCGCTGTGCCGGGGAAAGGTTACGTTTCTTTCGGGTCACCCTTTTTCCAGCAGGATGTACGACGACTACAACGAGGTACCTATCACACTCGTTCATATGCTTGATTTTAATTTTAGAGCGTTGAAGAAATGTCAAATTATTCTCAATTCCAGCGTGTATTCGCGCTCAATCTAATCTAATTTACGCACGCTTTCCCTTACGTAGCAGTATGACAACTACGACGAATTCGGGCAGACAGACGCGCACGATCAGTACGATCGGCCGAGCTACCGGCAAGTGCCCGAGGTGGTGCGTAACTTCCTGATATTCTTGCGCAACTGCATCAACGAGGGCATGATCTTCGAGATTCAAAACCTGTACGAGAACTCGTTCCCCAAGATCTCGGAGCAACTGTTCGACAAGTCGCCGTGGCCGGACGCCTCGACGATCGCTCATATCGTCGACAACGACGCGGTATTCCTCACCCTGTACAAGGAGCTCTACTACCGTCACATATACGCGCGCATGCAGGGCCCCACGCTGGAGCAGCGTCTCAACTCCTTCTACAATTATTGCGATCTCTTCAATTATATTCTGCATCCCGACACCCCGGTGCAGCTGGAATTGCCCGATCAGTGGTTGTGGGAGCTCATCGACGAGTTTGTCTACCAGTTCCAGTCGTTCGCCCAGTACCGCGCCAATCTGTCCAACAAGACACCGGACGAGATCGAGAATCTGAATGCGCACAACAAGATCTGGGATGTTCTCTGCGTGCTGAACGTCCTGCATTACCTGGTCGACAAGTCGAAGATTAAGAGCCAGCTGGAGGTATACGCGAGCGGCGGTGATCCGGATTCTGTGGCTGGTGCCTTTGGCAGGCATTCCTTGTACAAGATGCTCGGTTACTTTTCGCTCGTCGGTCTTCTGAGACTGCACTCTCTGCTGGGTGATTACTATCAGGCCATTAAGGTCTTGGAAAATGTGGAGCTCTACAAGAAGAGCGCATATTCCCATGTGCCTGGCTGCCAGATTTCGACGGCTTACTACGTGGGCTTCGCGTACATGATGATGCGCCGCTACGCCGATGCGATCAGAACATTCTCCGGTATCCTGTTGTACATCCAACGTACCAAGCAGTTGTTTGCCACGCGTAGCTACCAGAACGATCAGATCAACAAGCAGACCGAGCAGATGTATCATCTTCTAGCTATCTGCCTGGTTCTACATCCACAGTGTATAGACGAGGGCCTGCAGCAGGCTCTGCGGGACAAGAATTACCACGAGAAAATGTACAAGATGCAGTACGGCGATCTTACCGAATTCGAGAATTGTTTCGTATTTGCGTGCCCCAAATTTCTATCCCTGACACCACCGAATCCAGATAATCCTAACGAAGACTACGTCCGCGAAGCTATCAAGCATCAAACCCAAGTATTCATGGACGAGGTGGTGCAACAGAAGATGTTGCCAACCATTCGTTCGTATTTGAAACTCTACACGACGTTGCCGCTAAGTAAACTGGCCACATTTATGGGAAACACTAGATCCGATATTGAGGGATGGGATCTCGACAAGGAAGTCAATGCATTGACGATCCACTTATTATGCTTCAAGCATAAGATGAAGAATATTGTTTGGACAAAAGGCACATCGGGATTAGATGGAAAATTCCAATCCGGTTCTGAGGTAATCATCATCATTGTTATTTTACTTGTATTTCAAAAATATAATTTATACAATTTATTTAAATTCATTATTTATATATTTCGCGTTTTTTTTTTCAACAATTTATTTTCTCTAATAAAAATAATATTTTTAAATAAGTTATATTTTGGAGAAATATTATACTTGTTTTTTTTTTGCCACAAGTCGAAACATCACAATTTTAACTTATATTAAAATTATTTTCTGCCATTACTATTTAAATTTTTGAAATAGTAAATAAATATAAAATTATATATATATAATTGAAACACACCTTCAGAAATTGTTATTATTTTTTAGTTGGATTTCTATATCGACCACGACATGATTCACATCGCCGACACGAAGGTAGCACATCGTTATGGAGACTTCTTCATTCGCAAGATATTAAAGTTTGAAGAATTGAATCGCAAATTGCATCATATAAAAATTTAACTGAATATTATTAATAAATTACAATCATTATTAATACTTGACAGTATGAAAAAGAGGGAATAAAATTTTCAAAAATAAATATTTATTTCTATTAAACACTTATCGTAGATATTTTTCAACGCATTGCAAAGTGTATATAATTCGTGTTTGGCAATATCATTGCAATATAAAAATAATGTACCAAAATCTACATTCACATTATATTCAAAGTTTTTATGATTTTTTTATATTAGGCAAATAAAACTGGATAATTGGATAATATTTAGCACTAAATGTGCGGTAAAAATATTGGACACTAATCTGTGAAAAATCGGTTATTGTATGTACGTGCGATAAATTTCTTCTGTCAGTATAAAAATTATTCTAAATGCAACTTTTTATAAACACTAATATACTTGTATCACTGGAATATAATAAATTTAATTACAAAAAAAAGAAAAAAATTACTGTCGAGGAAATAGCAATATTTAGATATTACATATATTTTATATACAAGCAACAGTGTTCGTTAAATTATTATATACACAAAAATAACGCATCAAAACATTAAAATATCGTATTTCATTACAATTGATCGCGATGTCAAAATTCGATAAAATCATTACTTTATGTATAAAAATATATATGTTTCTCTTAAGCACTTAGTTATCAATAGTGACATTCACTAGGCGTGGATGCAGTTTTATTCTCTTTTTCTTGCAACATTCTACATGCGGCGGCTAAAATATTTGGTTTCATAGATGCAGTCGGCACTTTTAGGCTGTGCAGATAATGAAAAAATCGATTGCCTCGTTTGTAATTTGCGGTCGAGCGGGATTCCTCTGCGCGACATATCACTCGCGCAGTGGGAAGATAATCTAACGCCATGATTCGTCGATCTAAACACGCAGATGTGACGTGCGATAACGCTAGATCCACTCCACGATTCAATTGCTTCCTCAGAATAATATTCCCTCGATTTTGCACGTATTCGTTCGCCTCGAAGTCTTTATACAGTATTTGACTGTTTATAAAATTTGCCATGTCTGCATTCAAATCATGCAAAACAGAATAAAAAGACACGTTTTCAGCCAAGGATAAATTAGGTTGCACGTTCTCCTCTGATGTCATGACCTTGGACATGTCTAATGTCGTGTCTTCGGCATCGACTAAACACGACATTAGAGATAAACTGTCCAAATCCTCCGCTAAATTGTTCAATATATGTATATTATTGGAACTTTTTGTACTTGAATTTTTCTTTGTCTTGTGCTTCTTGTTTAGTTTAATCGCAGGCTTGTACAAATAACGTTGCATGTCCTGCCAAACCAGCGGCTTCATGGTCGTAGATTGTTCCGATAATATCGGCGGACCTGATAATAATAGATATTGCAACTGGAGCAGTGCCTGTCTTAGATCGCCCGCTTGTAGTAATTTCTAAACAACAGAATAAATTCATTTACTCGATTTAACGATAGAAAAATATGATACGATTGTATAACTTGCACAACTTCAATGGAATATTGTAATTTCAAATATTAGCTGACTTCTTTTTTTATAAAAAAAAACTTTCCTTAATAAATATAAATTTTATATTATAATTTAAAGGTCACTTACCATTAGGCAATTATGCGGAATCCTATAACCCGTTTCCGCCAACGAAATTAATTCTAGCAAGACAGACGCCCTGTTACCATTCACTGTATGAAAGTAAATTTTGTTTTGTTGCGGTGCCATTTTGTTCAAATGAGGACACGCGTTTCTACATGTCATAACAATTGGTCGTTTGGTGTTCGATGCTAATTGATACGCGGCAGAAACGAATCCTTCATCTTCCTCAAAGATAAGATCAATATCTTCTAATAGAATTAGAGAATTTTGTGATATTTTTGAGGTCTCGTCCTCTTTCGTGATTCGTTCGAACGGAGATTTATGTTTACTTTTTTTAATTCTATGCGACTTTGTGGCTTCCTCCAATTCTTTTAAGATTCTCTTTCCAGTCCGTCTGGAAGATGCGTTCACCTCGATCACGCTGCAAAAGCAAAACTTTAATTTAGCTCGAATAAAATAACGTGTCTGAATTTATTATTTGAATATAATTTAAGGATTCACTTTGTATTTTATTGAGCCTTGATTACCAACCTGTAATCAAGTTCTTCCGCTATCGCATACACGCTTGCGGTTTTTCCGCTGCCATGAGGTCCTAACAATACAGCAATCTGATTATTTTCATTGTTACACGAGGAACTGCAATCCGAGGAATAAAACTCATCGCCGCTGCTGCCGTCACTCTCCTTCGTTAAGGATGATCTCCAGCCACTCAGCCAATCCTTCAGCTTATTCGCGGCCTCTTCATTCCCGACTATCTCTTGCGCGCTCATCGGTTTATATTTATACGTCCACGTGCAATTATACGACTGATTTTCCTCATTTCCGACGCTCTCTGTTAACATTCTTTTTCGCTCAAGCGCTCGGGTCTTTCTACCTCTCATCCGAGGTGGCGATTTCTTTTCCGAATTGCCTTTAATTGACGATATAGTCTTCCACATTTTCCGCACATCTGGATAAAGCCCCTCGATTTCCGACAACACCCGTTCCACATTTTCCTTCATGGGTTCGTTAACCGTTTTAGTCGTCCCTGACAATTCCCTACAATTAGTAATATATTTGTAATTACCAATATCTATCGAAGGCAAATATTTTTTCTCGATTTTCATCGGAAATTTATGTTCGATTTCGCATCTAGTCAAGTCCGATTCATCTTCCAATTGTGTAACATGACTGATAGCAGGAAATGGTAACGCAAACGCGCCAGTGTTCGCTTTATAGTCTGTATTTTTATTCTCTACGTCAACTATATCCGATTGCAGAAACAAACGTCTAGCTGCCGTGGCAACTGGATCTGTTTTTCGTCGTTTAATGAATAAAGGCGCCAGCTTTTCATTCGGTTTTCTTTTCAGAATGTGTTCACTGATGAACGCGCACTCGGAATCATCAGTTCCTATAATGATCGTTTCACTTGTGTCATCAACCTTCTGCTCTTTTCTGTTAGTTTTGCATGATTTTTTCAAATAAGTATCTCCATTAAAAACATTCGTAGAAGCATCTTTGACAATATTCGAAATGTTACTGTCTTTTACAATTGATTCTTTTTTCTCCTTGTTACGTTCTTTTGTCGTAAGATGTCGATCATAATTCTTCACACAGACTTCATTATGTTCTGTATTTACATAATTTCCGGATTTACTCGAGTTACTGAACTTTGATTTACTTATCGCTGAAAACAATTCGTCATCGGTATCTGCAAGTAAAATTATAAATTGATTTTACAGTGTTATTAAAGCTAGATATTCGTTCGAAAGAATATCAAAATCAGCGATCAAAGTGTGAAAGAGAGACAATCATTGCCATCAACCAATGAAAACATTGGGAGACTCTAATTGCGTTTTACATCACATATAAAAAAATACTATACATATATAATAACAATCTATATAATTTTATTATACCATTTAAAGAATTATCTTCAGAAGAATGTAACTTTATTCGTAAGGACCAACGGGGTTTTTCTCGTTTTTGCTTATCCTGTCCTTTGACGGTCTGAGACAACAAATTCTCAGACGCTATAATGTGAATATCATCTACTGTAGAAAGATCCAACTTTGACTTTGGAAATTTCTTGTTAGTATATCTCTTGTTTGATATTGGCTTCATCACGGGTTCAACGTCAGAATTATCAGTCCTATGTACATCTGCTTTTACAACGAATGTAGACATACACTTTTCATCCTTATTTGTCAATGCCAAGGGTGATTTGCTGTATGACAAAAATATATCAGTAATAATTTAACAGTACATGGGGATACATACATATAGTATGTGTTATACATATATATATGTATAATACAGATAAGTAACACTATACTACCTAAAATAATCTAGCAAGTTTCCAGACTGTTTGTTAGTTTTTATCGACAATTCAAAGCTGTTATCCTTTTTATGTATAACGTTGCCTTTGTTTTCACCTTTAAGGAATCTTATACGATTGTCAATATTTTTTTCTATTCTCTCACCCTCTTCTATTTCCATCATTTTTCTTTTTGAATATCCCTTTTTATCGGCCAAAGCTATTAACTTCTCTTTACATTTTGCTTTCAATTCTTTTGTACAATCTGATTTCTCTTCACTTTCAATATCTTCTATGGATTGCTGTGATAATTTATACTGTATCGGTTTACTATGGCTCATTAGAACCTGAAAGGCGTTTGATTCTTCCCGTTGAGAACCAATTTCATTGGGAATTCCTATGCTTGACTCAGTCTCGTCGTTAAAATTACTAACACCATTGTTGGGAGAATTGTCCAAATCCGCGATTATCTGTTCATTTGATTCTTGTTCTAGCGAGTTATTCCTTGTTTCTTCACATTGATTTCCATTGATTTCCACAGTGGGCTTTAAATCCTTAAAAATAAAAATAAAATTATAGAGACTTATCCATAAATGCTGATATCGCAGCAGTTGTAGCTTTTATCAGAATTTAAAGATACCTTTTTGAGACGCTGCTTTACACCTGACTCGGTTAAGCTCGACTTTGGTGTTCCATCCTGCTGGGTCTTCTGATCGTTGTTTATCACGCCGTTGAATGGGCTGGGCGTTTTGTCGATCAAGTCGCTCTTGCTCTCAATTATGTCGCACATCCTGCTCGCGGAGTCGTCGCGTGATATCCGGATCTTCACACGTTTGCGTTTACCCGTCGCGATAGTCCCTTCCTGTTCCGCGATGTTGTCAGGATCAGAGTCGACCTCCTTGCCGACGATACTCCTGCCGTTGGCAAAGTATTGCTTGATGTCCTTCATGTTTCGATACTATCTGCGATCTCTGCTTTACTCGACGCCGGCTCTTGTTCCGTCAGGCACGCGATGCCATCGCTCTTCCTTCACGAAACCTCTCGAGAAGCAATGGAAATATTCCGATAAAAAAAACGGATGCTAAGAACGCGGTACTCCACGTACACACATCACGGCAAAAGTATCGTCAAGTGTATACGCCTCTTCTTGAAGGCCTCGTTATTGATGATAACGCGACAACTAAATTCCTCGTGAAAATTACTTTCGCGTTACAATTCCGAGTAAAATATTTATGCCGTTCGTCTCCTGGCGATACAACGTGATGCGCACAATGGCACGTTCACCGCGACATTATCACGGCTTCCCGCCTTTTTGATATCGCTTTCGAGGGCTTCTCAACATTACGTTCCCAAACACATGAGAAAAAGTTTACGATTATTGCGGTAGGTTTGCTGAACGCAGCCATTTTTTAAAACGATCGACTCTAACCTCTCATCGCCGCATTCACCGGACGCCGCGCGAAGCGAATCAGCTGGAATCAGCTGTCCGTTCCGTTTGATTTCACTTTTGTTTGAAATGTTCGATATGTTCCTAATATTGTCGCTGATATTTTTGCTGCTCTTGCTCCCGGTTTTTCTCGTTTTAAATAGACATCTGGAAAAATTAAGATCCGGCAAAAATGTTTGCGTGCTGGTGCTCGGCGATATTGGCAGAAGCCCACGAATGCAATATCACGCGATCTCCTTCGCCCGGGAAGGGTTCGCCGTAGATATTGTGGGTTACCCCGGCTCGCCGCCGTTGAGGGAGATCTGCGAGAATCCGCGCATAAGGGTTTACTACATGCAACCGCCTCCCGACTTACGAGACAGTACGAATTTAATTTTTATTATTGCTGTCATCCGCAGACAGTTGCGCAGATTTGCTGATGATATTTCAAGTGATAACGATTGTACTTGTTTATTATTTCAGATTTACCACGTCTACTCTATTATATAATAAAAGTGGCGTGGCAAACGGTTAATCTTCATTGGGTATTGTTCTACAAATGTCCGTCAAATATATTGATAACGCAGAATCCACCCGCGATTCCTGCCATTCCAGTATGTTGGCTTTACAGCTTTATGGTTGGTTGTTTTTTCGCGGATACGCAGTTTGTGATCGACTGGCATAATTATGCTCATTCAATCATGGCATTAAGCCTAGAAAAGAATCATATCCTAGTTAGATTAACAAGATTTGTCGAGGCAACGTTTGGCTACAAAGCAAAGAATAATTTTTGTGTTACCAAAGCGATGAAGGAGGATTTAGAAAAGAAATGGGCTATCCGGTTAGTATTATTTATTACATTTTAAAAATAAATAATTTGCTTTCATCAATCTTTTTTTTTATCACAGAGCAACGGTCTTGTATGATAGACCGATGGATAAATTCCATCCAATAACTTTGGCAGAGAAGAATTCATTTCTGTGTAAATTAGCTGAAACATACGATATATCGATACCTTCTTCACCCAAAAAATCTGGCTTTATTGTATCGAGCACTAGTTGGACCCAGGATGAAGATTTTTCAATACTGTTATATGCGTTACAAAGTAGGAATCCGTTTCATTTGAATAATCTTATACAATTGTGCATTAATTAAGAAGGATTACATATGTAATATTTTTTTTATAGAATACGAAGACGCGTGCGAAAATAGTGAGTTAAACTTGCCAGACTTGGTTTGCGCGATAACGGGCAAAGGACCGTTAAAGGATTTCTACATGGCTATTATTAATTTAAAAAAGTGGAAACATGTTCAAGTAAAGACGCCATGGCTTGAGAATGAGGACTATCCTAAGATATTAGGTATTACATATCTGTGTATCATTGCTAATTAATTTTGTCTTTTTTTTTAATGTAACAATTGTTTTTTTAGAATACCTTTTACAGAATGTTTTAAATACTCTTTATCTTTCAAATAGCTAGTGCAGACTTGGGTGTATGTCTTCACACATCGTCCAGTGGATTGGATTTACCAATGAAAGTCGTCGATATGTTTGGCTGTCGTTTACCAGTTTGCGCATACAATTTTAATAGGTATATTAATGATTAATAAGTATATTAATAGATCTATTAATAATTAATAGTGATTTATAATGTAATATGTATCTAGTAGATCTGCTTATTAAGAGAGATAATGTGTCTTATTATTTAGCTTATCGGAGCTAGTAAGGCATAATGAGAACAGTTTGGTATTCGCGGACGAGGAGGAACTGGCTGAGCAATTGAAGATGTGGTTTCAAGATTTCCCTAATAACGAGACACAACGGCAGTTGCGTGAAAAATTTCAAGAAAACATGTTTACATCTCAGCAGAATGATAATGATTGGCATGGTAACTGGAAGCTCAATGTGTTGCCTTGTTTTCAAAAATAATTTTCAAAAATAATGTATCTGCACAATATTGTTTTTAATAATTTTGTACGTAAGCTTTGTTCCCTCCTGCTATTACTTACACATAATACTTGTTGATATCTAAGAATATTTTACATTTTATAATGCTATAGTATAAGATTTCTCAATTTGTAAAAATATGGATCATTACCAAATTGCATTCAATTCAAATATCTTTAATTTTTCGAAAAAGTAGAATTATATTAAAATATAATATGTATTCAATATATTTTTTAATTTTATACTTTATTATAATATTAAATATGTATACTTTCATATAGATACTATGATATATACAATGATCTCATTTATATTAAGAGAAAGATAAACCAAATACATTACAAAGTTACGTTTGATTTATTTGGTGTCAATGGTGTCAATGTTGTCATACTCGACATTATTGTGTGTTTGATATCTTTAATTTTTTCCGAGAAATAAGAAGGTCCAATCTTGATCGCAATAGCGCTTATACCACCAGATATACAGCATGCTCGACCGAGTTGCTCCTTTTTACACAAATAAATATAAGGTATCTCTTGTGTCTCCGCTAATTTTGTCAAACGTGTCAGAAAGTCTAATGGTGTCATCAAATGTGTTGCGTTTTCGGCGAGTATAATAAATTCTGCCAAGTTTTGTTCTATTGAGCTTGTCACATCTGTCAATCCGACGAATAGCATATTTCTCTCCACGTGATACATTTGTCGAATCAATGTTAGTAACTCGTTACTTAATTTCTTCGTTGTAGTGAGATCAGCAACGCAATCACATTCTACAGACTAAGAAATGAATAAGAATAAAAGTGATAGTTAAATGTTTGACAAGAATAAAATATTTCAATGTATGACAATTGCTTATTCTAAAATTAATATATTGATGTTATTCTTTTAAAAAAACATGGGAATTAACTGTACTGTTTATAATTACGCGATTTAATCGTTGAATTATTTTTGAAATTTTCATTTTTTGCAATATGTTGTACAGGCATTGAAAGCACAAAAATGATATTCTGTTTGAATTTTTTATTAATGCCTTAAATGTGTATTTCGTATATAAAAGAATTTCATACATAAAAGAGATTGAGTAATATATCTAGATTTTTTTTTTTATAAATAGCACAGTGAAACTGTTTTCAATCTGTCAAGTATTTATATCGTAATAAAGATTTGCAGCATCTCGTTAATAATAATGAAGTATTAAAAATAACAAATATAAGTTTCATTTTTTTTTTTTTTTAGATTAAGAGCCTCTCGATCTCTTGTTGGATAACTTCAATTTGTGGTTTTAATTGCGAGCCCTCATTGATCAATACTGAACAGGCTACTACCGGCCTGGAGACTCCGCAAGCTCGCCCTAAGGCCTGCTTACTCCGTACGAAAACATAGGGCACATTTTTGTCCTCGCACAAAAGCGGCAAGTGTAGCAGGATCTCCAGTGGCTGGGTATCCGCGGCCATTACTATAAACTCAGACAGGCCGCGATTCAAAGACTTTGTGGCCTCGTTCGCTCCCTTCTTCAGCTGGCCGTAGTTCAACGCCTGCTGCACCAAATTCAATATTTTTATGGACAGCGCTGCATCCGCCAGCGGAATCGCCTTTGCCGGCACGTCCTCCATCTGACAAAAAGAAAAAGAATTCGAAAATCGATTTGACGTATTTTTACGTGTCTCGATAAGCAAGAAAAGTTTGTCGTCTCATTGAAAACACGTGGACGTACACAAACGACTCGCGTCTACAGACGATGGTACGCCCCACGTGGGGAAACCTAACCACAAATAACAGCGGCGCGCACCGCGATCGGATCGGCGAATATTGTACTTACTGTACTTACCGTACAATCGTGAATCGAGCCTTGTTCGTTCCTTCTAATCTCTCTTCGTCTCTTTAACGGTTACGTATCGGTCTCAGAGCACAGTGTATCGCGCTTTATTCTTCCTACCGCCTTTTTTCGAGATCTCATAAGCTTCCACGGAACAGTGCCTGTCCTTTGGAGGACAGTACCTCGGTCGTTCTCCCTATCGCTCTTCCCCCTTAAATCATCAGTTTCGCACTCCGACTACTCCAAATATCACGTCACAGTGATGCGATTTCACTGTAGATTTCTGACAAAAATTCACGACCATGCGGGTCCCAAAACGGAGGACTGGGACGATGATACGAACCGGTAGAGCGGAAAATACGACCGGACGAGTAGCAAAAATGCGCGAGCAATCGTCCGCCGCGTGCCGCGTGATACAAAATAAAGCTACGAGCTACACTCTTTTGCGACATCGGCGTGTTCGAAAAGTCAGCAAAAAATGTGCATATAAACCTACATATACACATATACGTTAACGTTTTATTATATTTTACAAACTTCCAAAATATATTATTAATGATATAGATAATATATATAATACATATATATATATATAATATTATTGCATATCAATTTTTTAAATTTATGTACAGATGATCTGTCTTTTGTCGCTGCACTATAATTTTTTCTCTCGCTTTTGTTAAATTTCGCTAAATTTCAAATATTAATTTTAAATTTATTTCATTTTATATATACAGCAATTGTATGTATTATATTTACAAAAACATTTAATTGTTTTGTAAAAATCTTTCCACGTAGCATCGGTGTTCACATATACTAAACTTTAATAAAAATTCGAAGAATCGTGTATAATAATATATGTATATAGTTAGTATTAATTTCTAATTTGATTATTTTAATATGAAAATTTAAATTCATGAAAATTGGCAAACAGTATATTAGAAAAATATAATCGGCAAAGTTAGAGAGATCACATATTAATGTATAAATTTTAAGAATTTTCCAAAATTCCATGTGCGACTCGGAAAATTCAGAATTTCAAATATAGTGAAAATCAATTGCGAGTCTTGAAAATTGATAATTTTTTCTCGACATGTATGTATGCGTTTTTGCAAAAATTTCGTTTAATCGGTACGTACGTCACTGATGATGCGACATTAAAATAATAAAAAATAGCATATGCTATTTTTACCAGATTTTTACGATACATATTATATCATTGCATTTACCTGCATTATTTTCAATCAGGTGACAAAAGGAGTATACGGGTTATAGCTTATTGTCAGAAGGGGAATCGAGCGTTAATTAATATTCCTTAATTTTCTTTTATTTACTGTTACAATAATGAATTTACTTTATTTAGAATTTCTCTTACTGGCAACATTAGAAAGACATATTTAAATTTTTGGAGAATTCGTGAAAACGAGAAAATTTTATTTTAAAGATAACTTTTCATATTGATGCTCGATGCTCATTTTTGTTAGAAAAACAATTACCGTTCTCTTATTCGTTACATTTCGGAAACAATTAAATTTGGTTGAAATTATCAACATCCTCGCTTCTTATTTAATCCTTCGATCGCTCTTATAGAGATCGCATGTTGCACTGTATATCTTTATATATGCACATAATATTAATATAAAAAAGAATGGAATAGAGAATTTAATAAAATCACTTCCATTTTTAAAACTAACTTTCTTTATTCACGCTGCCATTTTATACGCATTCTTATTGTATCCAATATAATTTAAATTTCTCAAACTCTCATCAGCCACTTTCTGCTTATTCCTAACTACATACTAAAACAATTTCACGTACAAAAATAATCGTAACAACAATAAGAGGTAATAAACAATAAAGATTCAATAACATATAATTCACATTCACATATAGAAAGTAATAAACTCATCTATTTTTATATATGGATCATATGCAAAAAATACTAAATCTGATGGTCCTGCATTTCACATTTATACATATCAAAAAGGCATTCCTATATTTCGGTACTTTGCTACATAAAATATTTTCAGTTCAAAATATCGTTACGGAATTACAGATATGCGGTATACGTGTGTATATGTGTATATGTATGTGTCATAATAGAGAATAATTGTTACATCATGTGATAAACTGTCGGTAATATCCGAAATAGAATATGTATGTGTGTTATTCTGAACTCTATGACTTTACATATAAAAAGTCGTCTTAAAGTATGTATTACAACTTTAAGTGAGCTTAATATCAATATTTTTTAACAATTTTCTAATTTTCAATGCTATATTTCTATAGATTAAACAAAATTGTTTCCAAAGTGTTTTATTCATTCAATAATTTGATTACCGATTACGAAATATTTTAACCGTTAATATTTTAAAAGCGAGGCCTGTATATGAAGCCTCATTGTTCCAATTACTGTCTTTTTAAAATTTTTTTCTCGATCTTACGTTATTGATATTTTTTTAAGCAATTTCCCCCGATTTGTTTTACATAATGTACATCTTAAAAAGTATTTACTTTCACTTATCCAATTATAAAAAACAATCATTACCATACGCACTGTTGTAAATAAATAAAATAATAAAACAATTAACTTGATGTTAGGTTTAGCAATGTGATCGTAATTACAATATTAATCACGTAGCAATTTGTAATAATTATTTTTTTACGTTAAGTATCGAAAGTTATACACGCGATTCGGCGTCTCTAGCAGCAATGTAGCGATATAAATCTCGCAACAATATATCCTTTATATACTTTACGTACTTTGTAATGTCCAATGCGTTAATAATGGCGTAACTTCTTGTGCCTCTTTGACCTCGTGAACATCGGTTGCTTAACAGTATCACAACATGGATCGTTCAAACATGTAATACAGCGACATTTGGAGAACTCTACTAGATACATTGGATAAATATATAAGTCATATGGCGCGTATAGCAATATATTGTACATATTTTCTCCATGGAAACATTAAGAAAGGAAGTGTAAGTAAAAAGGCACTATTTCCGGGTATGGGAAAGAATCAGTTTCTTTAGGCCTCCCTGACTTCTATCAAGTCCCAGCGCGACATCACAGACCTCGCATTAACAGAAGTTACGCCGCTGTGAATATGTCACCCTCATATTTCATTACACTTGCATACTTGTAAAGTTTTCCATTATTCATCCATTATAGAACATACCGAAATATTTTACCGGAGTAAATTATAAATTAGCCACTCTTATAAATTCAATAATGTTCAAGCATACCCAACAAATACACTGGAAGCATAAACTTATTGATTAGTTGCTTTACAAACTATAATGGAATTCATATGCTACAAAACGATGGAATTTTCTCTTATTATCGCATACGGTTGACTAGCCACTGGGAAAATTATTAATTGGCAAGAGAATGTTCAATTTTTTTCTACGCGCAGTTTCAATATGCACATTATTTAGTCACAATGAATATCAGCTTGTTGTAATTGCGTTATGTAAAAACACCGGTGTTACGTTATATTGACTGTCGAGGATGACATCGATTTAACAATCATTTCATTAAACGGGTGTTTCGTGATCAGTCTCTTCGATTCTTCCCAATCTCCAAGCATTCGGATCTCCCGCCGCTGTAAATTGAGAGTAACTTTTAAAATATCTTTTAATCAAAATATGGAAAGAAACAACAAATAAACATATTTAAAATATCATGTATTATCATAGCTGTACTTTCTCACTTATAAAAAAAGTTACATTACAGTTGTTAGAAGCAAATAATATGTCTTTAAAAAATATGTTTCAAATCAGTTATAAATGTAAAAGAAAGTAAGAATTACGATACGTAAGTATCTAAATATTTAAATATACATCGTTCCCCTTTCCATTATAATAAATTTTCATGATTTAATGTGTTTTTTGAAAACATGTGTGCTTAACGGTTCTGGTTTATGGGTATTGCTTTACATGTATTTGACTTTATTATTATGTATAAGAATTTTCGAAAGCATAGAAAAACTCACCTCTTGGTACAATATCCAGGAAGAACAATTAATGGAATTACTCTGCATTCGTGTAATATATATGCATCCATTGCAGGAACATAACATGTACATCACATACGATTTTTGTGCTAGAGTGTTGCACGATCAGTAGGCAAGGATATTACAGCGAAGTTTGAACGTTGCACGACATAGGGTGCGGGACAAATGTACAGGGTGGTACACGTAGGCGGTTCGTATGGTGAAGGGTATTATTCAGTACATCTTGATTCGTGTACAGCAGCGGCATTCTCTCTTCTATTTCCAAAGCAAAATCAAAGTTGATGCAAAATCATAAAAAAAGGTGCATGTAAAGAAATATACAAAGATCTATGATATTACTACAGCTTGACAAATATAACAAGACATTGTCAAAACTATATTACTTAAAATGAAAATTACATGTAAATAACCATTATTTGTATGAAATGTTAGCAAAAATTTTAACATGACAAGCTAGAAAATACATATATGAGCAAAATTATATTTACTATGAAATTATAGTTATCATGAAAATGTTGAAAATATAAGAATAATATTACAAAAGTGAAAAAACTGGATACATACAAAACATGCGCATGCCTGAATAATGTAGAAAATGTGCATTTTGCTAATTATACAAGGATTGTTGATAAAAATTTATGAAAAATATACAAGATAGTTGTTTTGTTTTAAGAAAAAATAGTGTCCCAATATATTAAAACGTATCAATGAAAGTTTAAATACAAAAAAAAATATCAATCTTATCATACACATTTTGGTTGAATTCTTCAATATTCGTAAAAATAAACATTGTAAAAAATGCATATATACCTTGAAGTTGACGACTGATGAGAGCAGTAATGCCTTGACTATCACCAGTCTTTTTTACAACAAAAAGTTTTGTATCAGCATCATTTTCTAAGGCTCCAATACCACCCAGACCAATTATTTGTCCATTCTGCTGCTGATGACTGCTAGCAGCCATCGTTTCACTCACCTATCACAAATAAATATGGTAGAACAACACATGTATTGAAAATTTTTTATTTTCAAGCTTCCTAACAATTTTATAACTTAATAAATCATAGTATAGGAAACATTCGATTAGCGTGATGATTTTTATAAAAGAAATGAACTATACCTGCATCAATTTTTTAACTACATCTCTGCCCAAAATGTGATCAAACACTGCCTGCAGGAATTGATCGCTAATTATGCTTAATTTTAGTTTGTCTCTATGCCATAATAATATCCTTGATTCTTCCATAGCTGTTATTGATACCTAAAACAAAAAGTGAGATATCGATTATATACGTATATGTATATCTGTATTAACACATACTGGAATTAATGTTCTTTCTAAAGACAGTGCATGCCACGTTTATCTCTTTTCTTGTTTTTTCCAACGTGAAGAGAAAAAGAGGGAAAATGTACCATGTAAGAAAGTGCATGCACCATCTTGAAAAAGAACATACCAATCGTATTAGTCAGAAAAACATCGACTTTAATAAGAGAATTTGCTGATATGAAGACTATATTGACGATAGATTAATAATTTACCTGGAAGTATTCATCTGTCGAGACACCAAACCATTCTGGAGAATCCAGGAACTGATGTGGGAAGACGATATGCAATGCTCTTCCATTTTGCGAGACAACTAGTCTGTAAAGAATAAGAATATGATTTTAAATAAATTGACTCTTATAATGAATAAATCTAAAAAATTTAAGTCCGTTCTTACTTTCCCGATAGCACCAATGATAAAGAATCGACTTTGGTCACTTTTTCTTGTGCATAAACCTCTTGATATTTCAACTGGCGAATGATCTTCATACAATTTAATACTTTTCTGAATTGATGACGCGACACCCGTAATGGCTGGAACACTGCAACGTATACCTATATAAAAGAAGACGACCGTGAGATATTTTTATTTTAAACAACCATTTTAAATGTAAAAATAAATATACATTGAAGATTTCAAAACTTTATCTATATTGTACTATAAATATATTAACTGTTGTTCCATTAATCGCTAATATTTAACAACAGGTTCTCTACTAAATAAAATATATAAATTTTATGTCTAATTTTAATAGGGATTAAATAAATGTCATTCGTAATAATACATTTGTAATAACAGTGCAAAAATAAATCAGAAATCTATGTGTATGATACAAATGTTGCAGTCAAACGAAAGCAAATGACATAGAAAACATCGTATCTAACTGTACTACTTCTCAAGAAAATTTCTAGTGCACTATTTATAAGATATATAATAATAGTTCTAAAAAATATAGATAAATGAGCATAAAAGGTTCCCATGATATATTTAAAGTTATGTATTACATGTAAAATAATTTATACTACTGTCTGCTTTTCTCTGTGTATTAATTTTATAAATAATTAATTAATACTCCCTCTCATCATTGTCTTCTACTTGATCTCCGCTTACCTCTTCAATTTCCCTTGTAAACTTGATAGGCCTGAGCTTGTAAAGAAGCGTGCATACATGGACGAAGTTGATGACAACAAAGAGAGCATTCCAGAGAACAGCATCCAGCCAGCAAGCTATTGTCCAGCCCCACAAAGCAAGAAAGGCACAGCCCACAAGTAGAGTGCACCTTAAATAGAGTACACCATGTATGCCGCTTGGTGCAAGGTGTGACAATAGGAAGAAGGCATTTGCGAGTTGAAAGTAGATGTGATTCACGGTAATTCCTTGAAAGGGTTGGCAGGTAAGAGCTCCGTTCAGAAAGGTAGGCACTATCGGCGAATGAGGATAACCGGATCCATGGCTGACCACTGACAGTCCAGTACCTGTACAGACACAAGAGCCACACATTTCGCCGATGAAGTAAAGATAAATTTTTTCGCAACCCGAGAAAAATTGTTCTTCGGGTTTCTACGCGTGAGGCTTGTTCTTTTTAGCTGAACTGGCTAGTTCAAGAGTTTATCTTTCTTCTTCCAATGTAGAAAAAGATAAATTAGTGCAGCCAGTTCAGTTAAAACGAACAGGCCTATGATAATTTCAGTGGTGAATTCTTAAATGTACCCTCTCTATTGTCAGTGGTCACATTCCTGCATTCGTCGTTCTCGTGGTGTGCCGACGCTGGTGTCTCCGACGTGACGGTATTACGCGGGACATTGGACGCCGCTGCATTCGTTAGGCTAGCATCAATGGTAATAGAGGTCCAATACAAGAGTACGACAAATAAAATGGAAGTACCCCAGCCTATTCGGCTTCCTATCGGGTCGAAGCAGATCCACATCCCCGCATCACCACCAAGCTGGACCGTATTCGTTTCGCTCTACAAATGCAAAATTATTTGTACATTTTACTGTAAAATATATTATTTATACATTCATCTAAAATGCAATCAAGTCCGAATTGCATAGTTTTTTATATTATTATATATATATTTTTTTAGCTAACGTAACATTACATTAAGTCATATAAATTAACGATGTAATAAATTTTAAATATACATGTGTATATTTAACAGTGTTATTTGAATTTTGTATGTATAATCTCTTCAACGTTAGAAATTCAAATTGCTACAATTTGGTGATGCAGATTAAATTACTTGTTGCATTTCTTGTTATACTTATTTATAAATAATATAAAAGCAAATGCTCTGCCATTTGTGAGTGTCTAAGTAGCTGCTTACACTTCTGTATTAATCTCAGCTAAAATTGAAACTGGACGATGAGAACCATCTTGCAGAGATCTTCAGATCAAGGAAGGATGTTTGCATTACCAATGGCTGTGGGAAGACAATATCAACATCTGTAATGCACACAAGTTAGATGCTTAATCAATCATACAAAAATATAAGAGAATTAAATGTCTTATAGAGATCCAAATTATAAAATTATCACTTATAAGAAATATAATTGTTTCAAATCTCTCTATCTTTATCAGCAATTAAATAATGACTTGTTAGATAAGACCACCCATCGTCGCTATTAATATAAGAATCTTTGCTGCAGTTGTTATCACGAAAGGAATTATCAGTGAAAAATGGCACGGCAAGTGAGTTTGTAAAAATAAGATTTTATCACTGGCATCCTTAAATTCTGACTCCGCAAAAGTCTCTATAATTTATCACCGCTTGTATCTCAGAGATTGATCTTACAGAAGTGAAACGTCTACAAACAAGATAAAAGGTAGTTAATCTTGCACATTTAATATATCATTCAGATATGAAAGGTACCTATATACAATAGCATAATTATATACAATGTCAGAGTACACAGAGACAAAACGAATGCATGGGTGATGATTTATAATTTATACTCATTCTCGTAGCGACTGAAACCGCTTGAACTCGCCGCGGGAACGTTTTAATTCAGTTTCCACGATCCCGTTCCCCGTTTCGCGCTCGGTGCACATTTGTGATGCACATGTGTGCAGATGTAATTCTCGACCTGCCATCTTATACACGCGACTTCGGGATATAATATCATACATTCCGAGACTCGAAATAGATCACGAAGTAGATCGTCGAGCGCACGGAAGAACACGTATAATTTCGATTCGCAAACGAAATTACATATATCGCGAAACGCACAACGGCGGCCGGACGACACGAGAAGCCTCCGCCGCCGCGTTCGAACTCGCGGACTTTCCATCGTCATCGGGGAAAAACGGTAACTCGGCCGTCGTCGTGGATACACCCTCTTGAATTCACTCTCGTCGCCGTCGTCGTCGTCGTCGTGACGCGAGTTATTAAGAGAGTATCCCTTTCGAAATCAATAAATAACTTACTCATGGAAAATCGGCGACGGTGGGGGCGTACGCAAGGCATACAGATGAGAGGGCGAACGGTGGTGTGACGACCGTCGCTCGTGAGGAAAGGGAATCCGAGGGAATTGTCGACGTTGGGCCGGCCGTAGTCACCGTCGTCGAAACACTTCGACACACGTCTTCGAAAGCGCGTAGGCGCGAAACAAACCGAGGTCGCCCGTCGCCGCCTCTGCGATCGCGCACCGTTCGCCACTCGCCGCTCCGCTCCGCTCCGCGCCGCTCGCTCGATCGCAACGGAAATGTCAAACTAGGTAGCGCGGCGACCGCTGCCGTTGCAAGCGACGTCGCAAGCCCGCGTATCGGATGGGGGTCGCAGAGTCGGGAGACAAACGCGAGGACGCGCGAGGGGGTATAGCAATGGAGAGTATTGGGGAGGGCGACGACATAGCGCATAGTAAATATAGATTGCACGTACGATCATGCGCTATACCTATAATTATAGAAGGAGAAAGAAAGCTTTAAAAGACTTGTCTTCTCTCTCTTTGTCTCTAATGTAAAAGCTAGCCACACATGTACCCTTAGTTTTATGAATTATTTAAGTGTTATATAGATTAAAATAAGACAAATTCACATTTTTATTAATTTAATACGCATTTTCAAATTATTAGTTATTTATGATATCTATATATTTATTATATAAATAACATCAATATAATAACAAAATGTAATATAATTTATTTATTATCAATGTTAAAATAATGTATATTTATAAGATTGCTCGTTATTCAACTTTCTTTTTTTTTACTCAACAAATCTTGCACTATATCTTGAAGTACCGAAATCTTCTTTTGCAAGGACTTGTTTTTTTGTTGCATAAGTCTATTTTCACGTTCATTATAAGTTATACATTTTAAAAACTCTGTCCACTTTTCATCTGATAAAAAGTCTGCTTTTGTGAAGCATACTGTATTGTGTCTGGACAATTTTAAAATTTTCATTTCGGAATTTTTTAAATTAGACGATGGACATTGTCTATAAAAAATGTCTATTTATAATATTTGCAAGATGTAAAATAAAGATTAATTTTTCTTTCCTTCAAGTTTATCTTACCTTTCTCCACTTAGATCATTGTTATTTTCAAAATTGGAATCAATTTTTTCTTCATTATCAATACAAGTAACATTTATTTCTTCTTCAGAATTTAAGAAAATAATTAAATTTTCATTTGTATCCTGAGTCAACATTAGTTCGTTACTTGCATCTTCACTGCAAATAAAATTGTTATATTAAAAATTATGTAACATTAATTATCTCTTTATACGCACCTTTCATTGCTTTCAATGTCATTGCTCGCATTAGTTTCAAGATTTTCTGAATTGTCAAGAGTAATATCATTTTCATTTTGAAATATGATTTCAGAATTATTATATAAATCTACAGCAGTCTTTTGAACTAATGATGTTTTCTTTATATTTTTTCTAAATGGAAATGCATAAAATAATTTATATGTTTATTATTGTAAAGTAATTTAGCTCTCAATCTATTATTCTTAATTAAAGAATTTTGTCTCACTCTTTTCGTAGGATCATCGAAGGAACTGCAGTATTCTTTAGTCTCTTGATTCTAGAATAAGGATTTATGTCATGATAATCATTTTCTATGAAATGATCACTGCAAACCCTGGCCCCTTTGTATGAAACAATACGACCGATTTTCTCGAACCATTTATTCCTCATTTCTTCATTTGCTGGTATCCTGTAATGTTATACATTTTGAAACTTTTATTAAAAAATGTATTAAATGTATATGAGTGTATAAAATTAAAAAATTTTATTTATTTATATAAAAATTTAATTAAAATGGGAAATCTAAATTAAATATTAGTAAACATGTCTCAAAGTTTCTCTTAAAAATTTAATGTAGTATATTGCATGTTATCAACAATCATTATTGTATAACTCTATTAAATACGATTAGTCCTTATTACAATCAAATATTAGTTAGATCTCAGGTACCTATGAAACGACCGATATGGTTCCGAGGGAACATTTTCCTTCGAGCATATGCAACACGATGAAACCATTTTTTTTTTAATTTATATTACCAGAATATTATTTACAGAATAAATATGATATTAAATATGTTATTAATAAGTCAGTTATGTATACACATTGCGAGAGATGATACGCGTAGAAGTGATATAAACTATAGACACAAGATAAACAGGTATTATTCTGTTTAAAATTTCTAGATCGCTATTATACTACATATTCAGGCACGAATATAATGTACAAATAGGTATATACACCAACAATAATCATAAATCTAAAAACTCTCGCTCTTTCGAGATACGGCCATCATGCTCGCCGTGTTATGTCTGAGCATAGACTGTTTACTATATAGATCATGGGGAGGGAAAACTGCGCTCTCTGTCTATTAAATGCTCAGTAAGTAAAAGTTACCTGTGAACCGCGGATGAAACGCGAAAACCGGCAAAACATAATTCTCTCTGCGATTCAGGAATGCGCGAGTAGGTTATAAATCTTCGCTAAGTGGGGTTTGAATCCTCACTAAATATATAATTCGAGTCTCCACTAAGTGAGGTTCGAATCTTCGCTAAATGGGGTTTGAGTCTCCGCTAAGTGAGGGTAATTCGAATGCGCGCGCGCGCATTCGGACCCTCACTTAGCGGAGACTCAAACCCCACTTAGCAGAGACTCGAACCCCATTTAGATTGTCGCATTATATGCGGTCTTTAATATAATATCTCGTCGGTGATAAAATATATATGTATGGCATCTCGAAATTACATTTAAGATAATCTCAAATTTAAAATCAAATTACAAAAATAAAATACTATCGTTATGGGATCCATAAAATCTTTGTTAGCAATTATATATATATTGTATATATATATATATATATATATATATATATATATATATATATGTCGTGAAAAAGTCCAAATTAAAGAGAAAAATTGTATCTCTCCCTTAATTTTCTCATTCGCGTCTGCGCGGTGATGGCGCGATAATCGATGCATTTACAAGCAATACAAGCTCGGTCTATTTACAATTATGTCTATGGTCGATGCCGGCCGCGGTTTGGAAGCGTCTCTCAAATTGAGGTTATGGTTATACGTAAGCCGCAAGGTCACAAAACTAAATGTTCATGTAGCTGTCACGTAGACAAAATATTCGTACGCCGTTTCATTGAATTCTTCTTATAAGGAAGTTACTGCAGAGATTAGGTGAGTGCTTGCGAACACGATAACGACATGTTTAAGACATAACTGCTGCACGTCATTGCGTAAAATTTGCATGCTATCGTTGTCATCGAGAGTATTATTACAAAAACATATTGCGTACAACATATTACTCATATTTATAAATGTTATTCTTGAAGGGATCTGACAATTTGCCAAGATGTCTGGTGGCATGCTGTATGGCGGGGACGAAATAGGAGCGTTGGTCTTTGACTTGGGTCATCACTCCCTGAGAGTGGGCTATGCCCAGGAGGATACTCCGAAGGCGGAAATCCCAGCTGTCGTTGGAATAGGGGACGATGGCAACGGCACAGCTACAAAGGTCGAACCCATGGATATCGATGATAAAAAGCCTGACAGCAATATCACTCAAAATGGGACAAAGTATTACATCGATACTACAATTCTTCATGTTCCACGGAAGAATATGGAGGTTGCGAGTTACATGAAAGAGGGCATGATTGAAGATTGGGATCATTTTGAGAAGGTAAAATGAATAGTATTTTAATGCAATTTTTAGATTTTTATATACATCTGATTTTTTATATTGAAACCTCGACCATACCGTTTGTCTGCCAGGTCTTAGACTACACGTATTCAAAAATAATTCAATCCGACGCCGAATATCATCCTGTGTTATTTTCTGAATCGCCATGGAACGTGCGTAGCAAGAGAGAAAAGTTAACCGAGTTGATGTTTGAGAAATACAATGTGCCAGCATATTTTCTCGTAAAAAATGCAGTTTTGGCCGCGTTTGCCAATGGCAGAGCAACCGGCATCGTTGTCGATAGCGGCGCCACGCACACGTCTGCGGTGCCTGTACAAGATGGATTTGTATTGACACAAGCCATTGGTAAATCGCCCCTTGGCGGGGACTACATAAGTATGCAGTGCAGACAGTATTTACAAGTATGCAAATATTACTCATGTATTTATCAAATCGTATCTTCCAAGTCTATCTTTATTTAATTTGAATAAATGTAGGATAATGATATCGACTTGTCGCCTCCTTATATGGTCGGAAGCAAAGAAGTAGTCAAAGATCACGATAAGCCACGATGGATTAAAAAGAAAGGTTTACCCGAAGTTACCAAGACTTGGCATAATTATATGGTGAAGAAGGTGATTCAAGATTTTCAAGCCACAGTACTTCAGGTGTCAGAAACGCCGTTTGACGAGAAGATCGTTTCCACGATTCCTGCAGTTCAGTACGAATTCCCGACTGGGTATCATCAGGTATAACAATCTTTCATACAATGTCTGTATAACATTATGACACAAACACTTCAGAGTAAAATAAAAAAAATTATTTTAAGGACTTTGGAAGTGAAAGATTTCGAATACCAGAGGCGTTATTTGATCCTAGTATAGTACAAATGCGTGGAGGTATGGTCGGTAACACTATGTTGGGAGTAGGGCATATTGTCACAACCAGTGTTGGCATGTGCGACGTTGATGTGCGACCGGCGTTGTACGGAAGTGTTGTAGTAACTGGTGGCAACTCGTTTATTCAGGTAGAATTTTAATAGATAGAAAATTAACTAAGGCAAACATTGCCTCTCACACATATTGACGAATTATTGTGCATTTGTAGGGTTTCCCGGAACGTTTGAATAGAGACTTATCCATGAGAATACCCTCTAGTATGCGTCTTAAATTGATCAGCGCGAACGGATGTGCGGAAAGAAGATTTGGAGCATGGATCGGCGGTTCGATACTGGCGTCGATTGGCACTTTCCAACAGATGTGGATCTCCAGTCAGGAATACGAAGAGAGCGGAAAGAGTCAAGTAGAAAGAAAATGTCCTTAAAACGCTGTAGCTCGTACGTTTTCATTCGTATTAGCAATGTTTTCAACATCGCACAGGGAGTGAGTACAATTTTTGAAATATAAAACTCTACATTCTACATATTATGATATTGTGTATCATTTAATACAAATTATGATGCATAAATTATGATGCACGTGAGACTATAAAGCACTTTTAAATAGAATCTTTTTATAACGTTAATGCATCATGATGAGAATATACTCGTGATGTTATTGAATTAAATATCTGCTAGTATATATATATGGGATAAGCTTATTCTGTCTGTATAAATGATTTTACACATTGTTCCGAATTATATTATAAGCAGATGACATAAGAAAATTGATCCCTATTTATTATTGATATGTGCGTAAACTACTAAATTTTGTAAATTGTAATAAGATTTTTTATAACAAAAAGAAACTCACATGCCATAGCAAATTATGCCGTGGAAATAAATTTGTTGTTTGTTATCTCTTCGATTTCACACGTTCTCGCATTTGCAAAATGTCCTCGGTCTCGTTTCACTGCCACTAGAGTTATATGCATCATGTGGGAATCATAAGTGTTCGATCCCCATTTGTAGCAAATGTCGCTATAGGAGCGAGATGGAGTATACGTTCACCCGGAAGCTATAATTATCCTTTGTGACACGTACATGTATTTTGTATGGAAATAAATAAGTATAAGGTATGAAAGTACAAAGGGAAAACCATCTGTCTCTTTAAACTGCCTTATTAGTAGTTAACTAGGGGAGCAAACGTCGTTTGCGAATGAGGAAACAAAGTGAAGGGAAATTTCAAACAATTTGTCTTTGTGTCTCCAATAATGAAAGACGTTGGATCTTGCAAATTAGCTATCATTAGTATGAAATATTAATAAACAGAGAACAGTTATAAAGCCTGCATTTTATATTTTGTGTCTCTAAACAGATATTTCAATACAATACGACCTACTAATTGAGACTCCGTCATCAGTAACGTCTACTAATTACTTGCGTAAAATAAAGAGAACTTAATTAAAAATACACCGAGTTCTAACTTCGCTAATACATTTTCAAACATTGAAAAATTTATAATATTTGTTTGTAGATCTCTCTCTAGTACGGTTTATATCAATAGCTATAATAACTAGTGTAGATCTGATGTATATAAAGTTTGTGCTTGCTCATCTCTTCCAAAACATCGTTTCTGACATTTATTGTGTATCTTTTTGATGCAAGTAATATGGATATCAATAATTACGTATTTATTAATAAAAAGGTTTTAAAATTTGTTGGCCTTTATCCAACGAGTATCGTGAGATATATTCTGTGTTGTATATGTATGATTGCCATTGTTATACCGCAAGGATTGCAAATTTATGAAAATTGGCAGGATTTCTCTACTGTACTTGAAACGAGGTATTTATGTGCACAATTCCCCATCATTGACACAAATTGGATTGTTATATTACAATTTGATTACGCTTTACAAAAAATTGAAGTAATTCTATTTCTTTTATTATCTTTATACAGTTCAGTATTACTCACTATTTTACTTGCTATATTAAAATCGCTAGTTTGGATAAGTAATAGAAGAAAAATGGATCCTTTTATCGAATACATGTTAACAGATTATTGGAATATATTGACAACAAATGTTTCAAAGAATCACACGGATGTATATGCAATGTAAATAAACGTTTTTTTTTCCAAATTGCAAATGCACAAATGCGTCTACGGATACACATATATTTCATTGTTACTCACTTGCAGATACGTGAAGAAAGGATATTTATATACCAAAAGATATTTATTTTTGATTTGTAACTCTTTAATGTTCTTCTTCAGTCTACCTATAATCGAAATTGTTATTGTTACGATCAAAGGCACCAATAATAGCACAAAGCATTTTCCGTTTTTAGCTTTATACCCAGAAACTTACTATAGTTTTCCAATGTACGAGGTAAGGATTCTTACTTTCAGGAATTCTTCGAGATTGTTCGTGTGATAATAATTCGTATAAAAAATTCCCGTTTACGTAGATTACTTATCTCTCGCAAATGATAGCGACAAGCTTGTGTGGCCTTGTTATTTTGGGAACTGATACTTTAATTGCAACAGCGTTGTTTCACACATGTGGCCATTTCAAAGTACTCCAAAAAAAAATTAAAGATATTGGCACCAAGATTGATTCCGTTAGTACTTCTTTCAAAAGTTTCTTTTATATATCATCATCACGTATTATTATAAATTAATATATTTAGGATGATTATTTCGTTCTTGTAAACATATTAAGTCTTTTTATTTAGGTACAACATGTATATATTAAAAAAGATATGCAAAAAATTAAATTGCATACGATAGATATTATTAAACATCATTATACGATTCTCTGGTAATAATTTGAAATAATTTAATATATATTTGTTTTTATATATTAAGAATGGTGATGAAAATATAGCAGTTTTGCATCTAGGTTTTGCGATTATATGGAAACAGTTTTTAGCCCCATGTTATTTCTACAAACATTAGCTAGCAGTCTCATAATGTGTCTAGTAGGTCTTCAAATTGCGACTGCTAATATAACTGGAAATGAAATCTCCAAGTCGATTAAATACATTTCATATTTAATCATGGCACTTTTTCAATTGCTGCTCTTTTGTATACCCGGTGATGCTTTGATATACGAGGTAACAATAACATTACTGTCCCATTAAGAAAGACATAGACACATATACATATATACACATGTGTATTATATATATTATATCCATATAGAGTTCTATGATTTACAAAACTGTGTATACAATTGCCTGGTATGAATTGCCAGTTTTATTGAAAACCGAAATCTATTTGCTCATGTTGCGTAGTCAAAAACCTAGTAAAATAACCGCAGGAAAAATCTACGTAATGCATCTGGAGAATTTTAGTGGAGTAAGAGAAATTAGTACTTGAATTATAAAATATATAAAAAATTATAAGGTTTCTATAATATATGTATATGTACAATAAAAAAATATTCTAATATTTGTAGGTGTTAAGCACAGCTGTTTCATACTTCATGTTGCTTCGAAGTTTGGGCTCGGATGAAATTAGTGTCAAATTATAAAGTCGTAAATGTGTAATTAAGAAATATAATACTGTAAAAAGTAAAAAAAAAAAACAACACAACACACTTGAAAATTATGTGTAGAAGCTTCGGCAATAGTATGGTTCGTAGATTACTATCCATTAATATTTATACATGCGGGATTCTGTCCTGCAATCCTATTTCGAAAATGCTCGTTACAAATATGCACCCCAACCAAAATACATTTGGCACAGATTATCTAAATTTGTCGCTTCCAAAATTAAATGATTAGTTTGTCCTTCGACACTAAGATGTAAAGCGATATTTTCTGCCTTTCTTCCAGCATATCGTATTAAGCCTTTTAATCGTTGCTCAATATTCTTTATATGTTCTACGGCCTAAAAAAAAATTAATGGATTATTTTTGTATCTTTTCTTACGTAATTTAATATAAAAGAACATATTCGTTATACTTTTTCGTTCGTTTTTTCAGCTGCTTCACCAGGCTGATTCTTATTCCAACTGACGAGTGGATCGTAGACGAAAGGTGTGAGTACGCTCAACAATGTACTCGATTCTTGCCGAAGTACTCGCATGGTAATTTGACAGGCGCGTCTAAATGGTCCTTCAATCTTTAAAGGACCCATAGCATCTACCATATTATGTGTCAAACGAAATGGTACTCGTTCAGGCCAGTCAAAAAATTCACCCTAAGAATTATAAGGTGTATACAGTACATTAATCGGGATAAGTAGTTAAGATAAGAGGAGAAACAACATTTACATGTTTCCATGTATGTGCATTACATATATATGTATTTTAAAAATTTAATTTCCAAGTATGATATTTACCCTGTTGAACAAGCAGTTGAAATCAACATGAACGCAATCTCCGCATGTAGAATCAAACAATATATTTTCTCCATGGCGATCACCAAGCCCAAGTATATATCCTACCATGGACATGACAGCAGTTGTCCTAATATATGCCGTGCGAGCTTCGTACCTTTTTCAAAAAGTCAGATAATTGATATATCTATATGTATACAGAATTATACGAAATGCATATGTAAGATGTATTTTACTGACACATACCATCCATATGAATCAGGGAACATAATGCGAAACCAATCCCCGAATATAGGAGGATGTCGTGGTAATAGCTTTTCCAGAAACATTTGCCTTTTCTTTTCTAACGAATCTCGTAATGCTAATGAAAATATTTAGAAATTAATTTAGGTGGTAATTTTTTCTACAAGCGCGCGTTTCTCAATAGTCATATTAGGCTTACCACATATCATCGTTTTAAGTTCCTTATTTGTAGGTGCAATACCTCTTTCTCTATATAGATTCATAATAGTAGGTCGAAAACCAACCAGATTTGGTACCCATTCTATTAAACCGCATTCCTCGTTTAATGGCACCACGCTCTGTAAATTAAGGATAGTTGATCATTTATTAAAATCAAATCTAAACAAAATGTATCGCTAGCAAGCCTTACATATGTGCGTATATAAAGCCTCCTTTGTCGTGACTCTGGATCATTTTGGAGATACTTATTCACGATATCATTAAATTCCATCAATCTGAAGTCTCTACGTAAATCATCTTTTGGTTTACACATGAAAAGATATTCTTTACCATCTGATCCTCTCAGCGCGATTCGTCGCGGCCGTTGAAGTGACGGCATTATTACCACGTTTTCTTCTATTTTTGTTATATGTATCCATCTCCTGTGTTACAAACATAAAATATATCGCGCTGTTACAAAAGAAAAATGTTGCAATAATAAATGAAATACGTACAACAAGAATGGATTATGATTCACAATCGAAGCGTTCTTGGCTGGAAGATGTAGTTGTCTGAATTTCGTTGTTGGCATCATGATTAAGCTGAATTCCTTACTTGCAAGTAACCTTGGTAAATTTTTTGACAAATGAGTCACAGTGGTATTTAGTACTCCCTATTATAAAATCGAAAGAATATCATTATTATGATACACATTATATTCTTTAATTCGTGGTACAAGTATATTCTTGGGTAGCACCCGATTGACCACCAGCCACTCACAGTGCTTGAACAGTGGAAAATCTTTAAGCACCGGCCGCTGTGAGTGGCTGTGGTCAATCGGGACGTGGTCAAACGCTTCCATATTCTTTTATTATTAATTTTACTGATATTACGTTTAAATAACTTACTTCTGGTATCGATTTATTAGATAATTCAATTAGTCTTTCCCAAAGTCTATGGAAATCTTTAATAAGCTTGGACATGTCCATTGTTTTCAACTGCGCATGATTTAAGATTTCTTGACATCGTTTTTGTCGCGCCGGATATGAAGACTGCAAAATAAATAAAGCGTATTTTATATTTTTGTTAATTGCACATATAAAAAATTATATACACAAATAAAATTTACATTAAAAACTGATGCCATCATCCACAAGCAATGGTGCGGATATGCTGAAATTAATTTTACTAAAATCGTACGAAGGGTATTTTGCACTTGCGGAGACGGATGACAAATCCTCGATACAAGTTGACTGAATGCTGTTAACCACATGAATGTCGGTAATCTCTGAAGGTAGACCTCTGAAATGTGAAAATCAATTCACATATCAATTCACTTTGTTCAATGATAAAAATTAATCATTTATTTTACACTCATAAATCTTGTAATTAATTTAAATAGATAGGTACCCATAATCTGAGTCATTCTTAATAGACGATCTTGACGAAGTCTAATAATGTCTGGTGGATCGGAAGTAATCGTAGCACGAGACGCATGATCTAACCAAATGGTCAACATCTTAGGCATTGAATGATGAATGTATTTGCAGCCATGTTGAAGTGATTTGCCGTAAAAATTCATCATGTGTATTTGCAGGTCTCTTGAATAAAAATGTTAATGGTTAAATGTTATTATAATCAATCATATCACGAGAAAATTAAGCTGTATTTTATAGCACAAACTTACCGCCTATTTCTATCTTTATCGTCTTCCGACAATCTCTCAACAATAGTATCATAATACTGAGCACACGATACCCAAGTTTTTTCCCAGCATTTCCATACTTCGATTGCTTCTTTATAGTTAAGGATACAACCGTCAGTATCGATGTTAAGAGTCTCATCGTTGTATTTTGCAAAAAGAAGCTTTGCCTGAAAGAAGTGTAGATATGAAATAACTAGTTACTTTCTGATAGTCAATGAATTTTAAATCGTTTAGCATTACAGACCTTTGCAAAGTGTCTTCTTTCTTCGTTACAGTCTTCTGAAGGCAATTGTTTGTAATATTGCGCTGGTTGAAAACAATTTGAGAAACAACGATTTAAAGTGGTAAAAGCATCTTCTTGACAACCTTTCTGCCAATATAATCGAGCTTGCTCTATGTACAATGGTTGTGGTGGACACCAATCACTGGCTGATAAAATGTGCATGTACGCTTGTTGATGCAGGCCAGTCCTAACATGAAACAATTCGTTTAACACGGAAATAACCAAATAATGAAAAGAATAATGTCATACATACTTTCTAGCAATTTTGGCACTTTTTAACCAGATTTTGCCGATCTCTTGCTTAAGCATTAAATTTTCTATGTTTTGAGTCTTTCGTTGTAGCTGTACAGCTAAATCTAAAGTAGCTCTGCGCATACTCAAAACAAATTCTACGCCGCGAGATGCTCTCAACAATTGCCCACGTTTCTCCCATTCTTCCAGCATTGCTGGAAGGCCCTCTGCATTGTTTAACATCATTGAAGTTGCTTTATCAAATTCGTTCAGTATGTGTAATCTGAAAACAATATAACAAATACATTTCAATAATTTAGAGAAAATAAAAATTATTAATACTTACTTCATAATATACGAGTAACTTTGTTGATAAGCTCCTGGTCGAGAAGCATCTTCTAATAACGATACCAAGTTCTTCTTTAACGAGAGCAAATCCGGTTTTGTTCCATTTATGAGATCATCTAGTAATGCGTGTTTTATATTTTTTTGCGAGGCCTCGTCAAATCGGGAAAAGTGAGCGAGTTTCCAAAAAAGTTCACGTTCGGTTATGAGAGGCTCTAATTCTGGCCTGTCATATTGAAACCATTTTTTAGTTTACAAATAGTCCAATTTAAGTATATATTTATTTCTGCACTGTAATAGTATTACCTGCTGTTCAACAAACCCTCCGTAATGTGTTTGGCAGTGAATGGTTGATCCAGACCGAGGTAACATTGAATCATACCTTGAACGTACGTATGCTTTGAGTCTTTTGTCTGCATGAGTCTCTCGTAACACGTAGCTGCGTCCTAATCGAATTTATATTTGAAAATGTAATTTTGCAAAGCAAATATGCATTATAGCTTCAAAATACAATTACTTGATATGTCTAATAGTACCTGAAGCTGTCCATTAACTTCATGAGCTAAAACCAATTGTTGTAAGGTAGGAGACTGATCTTGAGTCACTAAAAGACCAGATACTCCGTCGGGTTCATCGAGTTGCGCATAAATTTTCTGCAACAGATAATTCTACTTTGTGGAACAGAGAAATATCACGTATACCACGTTAAACACAAATAGAACATTACTTACAGCGAGTAAACCACCCTCCGTTAATTCTGATAAACCTTTATTACTAGACGCCATATGTTGTTCCAGATACATCAGTGCACGGTGGTATTCTCGTGATTGATAACAACCCTCTGCTATTACCAGACTGTCTAATCTACCACAGAATTCTAGAAATATCAGCAAAACAAAATATCAGTCATATCTATACAAATCGTATAAATTAACGCAGTATGCGATAAATAAAACATTTTTTAATTATAAACCTTTTATCGCTTCGTATCTGTCATCTTGAAATAATCTTCGTTCTCTAAGCCATCTTTGTAAATGATCCAATATAGAAAAGATTACCTGTTTCAATCATACGAAAACATTTAACGACAATATCAAGAAAAATCAAAAGGTTAAATAAAATTATTAAAAGACTCGTGCTAACTCGCGAGCAGCGTGTACGCCTAGTTTCTTCCGAGATTCTCTTGTCGTCAGCCTTTACGCTCTGTCCGTATCGAAGTGGTCGGTGACGCAGAAGTTCTGGATCCAGTACAGACTTCTGTCTAACATTGATCACGGCTAACATCTCTTCCCTAATCTTAGCATGTTCCTCCTTTCCATTATTGGCGATTATGTATGCTGATGGATAAAAGAGCAATATATACGTGTGTGTATTAAAATAATTATTGCATAAATGGACACATTAACGTTCTAACTTACACACAATGTACGGTAGACAAAATGTTAACGTTTTTATATCCCGTTTAAATGCCAGTTTGCATGCCTGTAATACATTGTGGAGCGTTGTATCACGTACAGCATTAGACATACTGCAAAGCCAGTTATAAGCCCAGTTTTCGACTGAAGAACCAACTTCGGAACTGTAAATTTTTGTATGAGTTATCGTTCGATGTGAGATAATAGCAGATTGAAATTTCATCTAAAGATTACCCGTAAATGGGATGCGGAAATTCATCGTCATCGCTAACAGTCACTATTTTGTAATGTGATGTCAGGAAGGGGATAATAATCTGTTGCGTTGTGGGCGGTAAATTATTCCACAATTCACTATTTCGACCTTGCGGAGAAATATCATATGCTTTTAATATTTCCTGGAAAATAATCACATTGATAAGTAGAATTATGATTTTTTTTACCATAAATGCACATGTGTAACGCGTACGGTATACGGGATTACATACCTGTATGGCAAGTGAAAAACAATCCATACTTTGGCTATTTTTTTGCATTTGGAAAGCGCGTACATGTTCGGAAAGTAGCGCACATGCAAATTCTTCATTCATATCCGCTATAAATTTACTATCCTCTATAACATAAAAAGAAATTTTAATTACAGAATTAGAAAGTTTACGAAGGCTAAGAATTTTCATATTTATTATGATAAAAATGTAAAATCAAGTACCTCTAGAAATAATTCTTCGCGGAAGAAGACTCGGTTCGATAGCTCCTAATTCTCCGAGACATTCTCCATAACATAAACGGATAGATTCGTCCTTATCTTGACATCCGATTAGCAGAGTATCCAATAGCTTTAAAATAACAAATATATTACATACATAAATAATATACGCATAATTTATACGTGTAATATGTAATAATCATCAACATACTTCAACGATTAATGGATGGACATCGGTTTCGCTTAGGATCATTTTGTTGAGCTCACTACGATGCTCCTCCAAAAATATTTGCAAGTGTTTCAGAGCTCTATTTCGTACTTCATCGGTTTCGTGCGTAATCCGTTTCAACCACAATTTTAAATTAGCGTCAAATCCCTCAGGTCTACGATTAAAGATTTTTATAAAATATAAAAATATAAAAACGCAAATTATATGCAAGTTAAATATACGTTATAGATATTTACCTTGCTTGTAAAATATGTGCCTTGACTACATCGGATATATGAGTGGGGACTTTCATGTCATCTATAAAAAATAATTCCGAAATATGATTGTTGTGTCCTCCACTATTCTGAATAATCAGAAACTCTAACATATTGTTGACTTTTTCCGGAAATATTTTTTGCAGTGGTATTAACGATACGCATATTGTTGGAAATAGCGATCCCAAGTCTTCAATGGCTATACTGAAAGCAGATTTTGAGAATTACCATTTCAGAACGTAATTAACATATTTCCGTTTATATTAGTATATAGTAGTTTGACATACTTGTGGATAAACGCATCCCATGCGTCACAGACTAAGCGCGAGAAGCCTGGCCTTTTAAATCCAAGTGAGGTTCGCAATGTAGCTAAGATTTTGTATCTAAGCGGAGTTAAGTACGTGGCACCCATGTAGCGAATTAAAACAGCTAGTGAAGCAAGTGCAGATTGTTGCGTGTGTTCATCTGATTTAGGGCCGAGTTTTATATCAAAATTCACCAATATTCCATGTAATCGTAGATTTAAATAAGCCGCCTGTTTATGTAAATTTCAATGTATTTTACATTGCTGCATGTATTCATCGTATAATCATAACGTAATTATTAAAGCACTTACAACTTGCTCTTGCGTACCAAATTTTCCTTTCTGATTAATATCATATTCCGAGATGATTTCTAACAAGCCTATTATTTTTTCAGGCGACTCATAAAAATTTAACATAAGTTCTTCAAAAATTCCCTACAAAAGTATATATATTATACATATATGTACATTTTATCACATTTTTCACATATAAAAGTTAAGAAAATTTAATAACAAGAATTAAAATTTTTTACCATAAAAGACTGCTTTGTAAGAAGTACAAGACTAGTTTCCGTTATTTTTGTCACAAGCTTCAAACATTCCGTAGCTATTCGGAAAGGTGTTTCTAAGAACGCATAACTGTAAATATACTGAAAAAAGAAGGAAAAGAGACATACAGTATCCTATTTTAAAATTGCCGTGTTACCTGCGTTGAAGCCAAAAAAAAAATTTTTGTTTTAAAAATTAAATCATATAAAAAATGGTGGTGGTGGGTTGTGGTAAGTAATTAAATTACATTATATCAATTCAGTTAAATAATTGAACACATAATTTTACTTACTGAAAAATATTCTTGAAGCATTTGCTTTATGTCCATTCGTATCAATTCGGCTATATCGTATAGAAGTGCATTTGCTTGTGGCACTTCAACAATAATGGCGATCAGAAAGGAGACCGCATAATGACCGTCCTTATACAACAATTGACGTGATCCTTCGTATCCTATGCATTTAGCAACGCGATGTACCGTAGTTGCCATATTGTATGAGAAATAGATATAATTGCTAACAGCACGTTTCATGAGAAGCTACAAAATAAATTGATAAAAACGGACATCACAATTTGTAAGCACGTTTTGTAATAATTTATAATTATACTTACTTTTAAGAAATCCTTTCGGTATCGAATGTATAGAGTCTTTGGGGAAAGATTTAAGAAATTAGCAACATCCCGATACATAGCTGTAGCGGATGCTACAGCTGCGTGTGATGAATTCGGATGTGTTATTGTAATTAAAAATACATCCAAAATCCTTCTTTCGGTTAAATGTAACGGAACACTAAAATCGTTACATCAATTAATGGTCAATTAATAAAAAAAAATAACTTAATGTTTGGACGATTAAATATCTTCGATATCTTACCATACGAAATTTTTGGCAGTTTCTAATAATGTATCATGTAAGGAATGATTAGACGTATTCAACGCAGTCATAAGCGTGTTGGCTATAACATTAATAATTAAATCAACATATTCGTCCAAATCGTCTGGTACAGTATCCGGCAAAAGTTCATTATTACTTTCCAACATTTTATTACTTAATAATTGTCCGATTACTGACGCAATATTCCACCGAATCTCAACATTTTCATCATGTATATAAAGAAGCCATTTCTTCGTTATCTCATTCGAATTAAATGAATTAATATGATTTGAAAGCGAAAGAATACTTTTAGAAATTTGCAAACGTATGGAAACGTTAGTAGAGGAAAGTAGTTTGAAGTACGTATTAAAAATATGATTGTAGGTCCTTGGCAGACAATGAATGTTGGATTCGGCATTTTGCTTTATATTTTCTGTACAACATTCACAATGTACTCTCCATTTTCTGTTATCTGACAATTCACTAAAAAAAAAAGATAGGGTATTGTTAGTTACTCCATTTCATATTTATGGGACTATATTTATGAAACTATTTATAAACTGCATATTAACAAAATACCTTAATAAAATAATTTTTCCCTTTCCTGATGAGACACAAGCTACTTGGCCCAAGACATTTGCAAGAGCTTCATGTATTTCCACTTTCGTCGAAGATAAGGCAGTATTTAAGACATATTGGCAAACATCTTCTAGTTTTATGTTTGTATCGTTCAATAATAATACACTGTGCCTATATTCCAACATAATTTCAAAATTAAAAGATATGTCATTTGAGAACATATGACAAAATTAGAATACTTACGACACTGCTGTAACAGCTATTTGCATGTCACTATTTACACATGTGCGTAATAATTTCAGTCTTTCTTTTCCATTGCCATATATGCATAGGGTTTCAAGACACTTCGACATTGCTTTAACATCAAGAGATTTTGCTCGTTGCACCATTTTTTGGCCGATATCCATAGATCCTTTGAAATCTTGAGTAAATGGCAATGCTAATATTGATTGCAATAAAACTTTATTCGATTCATTGTGAGCCATTAAATTCATTAAAATTTGAAAGATAATTTGCTCATCTTGACATCTGTCTGAATTCAAGTGTTGTATGAGAATCTTCAAGATCGCGTTTAAGTCGTTCTCATACAGTTTTATTTGAATATTTTGTTTTTCTATCCATAATTGTAGTAAAGATGAAGCTTTAACGACATGTAACACTTCTGTGAATTTTTCATCTTCCACAAGATTCATTAATTTTTTCCTTAATAATTTCCATGGTTCGCTGATCTCTGTTGCAAGAATAATTTTGTCCGGTATAACGGCCCGTCCAATATCAATAAAAACAAATTGCATAAAAATCTCAACAACGGTCTAAAATAAATAATAAGCAAATTATTAAACAATGAAAAATCTAAAATAAAAAATAAAATGTTATAAAATATACGATTGTAATGATTACTGACTGGACAATGTACGAAGTAAGCCAAGAGATTTTTAGTTTCTGAATTGGTACAGGGTCGTGGTTCTGCAATTAAATATTGTTTAATCTTGTAACATGCTGTTTCTTCTAATTTTTTTATCGCCTCAATTTCTAGATTGTACGCTGCAAAGGGATATAATAATTTATACAGTGTGTTTAAGATTGTTTTAAGAATGTATTAATTGAAAATAGAAAAGACAATACTTACTAACAAATTCGGAGGCTATAAAATCAATAGTTTGAAAACACAAATCTGTCATATTAAGAGAAACATGTGATAACTGTATTAAACGTATCAATGTTTCTGTAAATTGAGACAACATATGAATTGATAGTTGATCTGAATTAATCCAAGCTGGAAGACTTTTCACTATTTCTAGAGTATACATAATTATAGTTGTACATTCCTAAAAAATTCAAATAGAGTATAAAATACAGTACAAACTTTCTTTCTCTTAAAAATTCCAATCACTTACGTTAGCATGAACAACATGGTTCTCTATTATTTCCGTAAACAGTTGTAATGCTTCAATCTTCAAATTTGGAGAAGAATTGACAATAATTGTCTTAATTCTATTGCATAACTTTACTTTATCCCAAACTGAAACACCAGCTTTTGCAATGATCTGTCAATACAAATATCATTGTTATTGAAACAAGTGTTGTTAGAGAAACATCTTATTAAGAAATCTGTGAGTTAGAAAAGCAAAAACCTTTAATAAAGATGCTTGAATTGATAGCACATCTGACGATTTAATCTTTGCAGGAAACGGTGTCAAGTCTAAATTCTCTATAATATCCTTGTCTGTATGAAACTTTGAGAGAGTTATTTCTTCTGTAGTGCTTTCACAAAACTCTGATATCTCTGTGTAAAGAAAATTTCATTTTGTAAGTTTTATTATTGGTAAATAGATTTTATTAAGTTTTCACTTGGTCATATACCGTTACATATGTTGGTCCATTATTACATACCATCAAGAATACTTAAGTATTCTGAAGTAATGGTTTGAAACATTGTTATGTGATGTTTTGATAATATTCTGAGCATACAAGCTTGCACTTCAATACTACTTGAAAGCACCACATTGCTCGATGGTTTGCAGACCAAATAGAACATTGTGTTAAACAACCAGGTTGTGAATGCTGAAAATGTGTACAAAAATATATTATCAAGTACCTACAATTTTTTTTTATACAATTATATATTTTATTATTTTTATACAATACACTACCTGCATATTGTTGTTGTAGAGTAACATCCGCTGTACCGGTATTAAATGGTGGAACTAATACAGTAGTCAATGTAGAAGATCTTTTCAATAAAGATTCGAGAAGAGAACAGAGCATCTGTTCTGTCAGAGGATTTTCCAAATCAGAAAATATTGCTATTATCGGACTATTGATAAATTTCCATACCGAGTCTGCCACGGTTATCCTGCGATAAGAAAATATTGGTTGTCAAATACATTTATGCCTGTTTCATTATTTAAAAATTTATAAATTCGTTAACCTTTAAAATTGGCGCGAGGTAGTTTGACACACATTTATTTGGGATATTTTATTGTTACAATGATAAAGTTTCGATAAAAATATTAAATTATACACAAAATTATTGTTATTACGACTCAGATATTATGTTGTGTTTTGTATCTCAATCACATGCAGTATAATTGCATTGGATGCAGATTTGCTCGTAATTGGATTGGATATCGGTATATTTATAACAGAAGTCTTACGTGCTGTTATCCTGAGGAGTCGGCGAATCGTCATTCGCTTCCATTATTGTATACAAATTGTAAATAAACGGAATGTATAGTACACTGTTCAATCCGGCATTAGATTAAAGGGTTCTCCCTCTCGGCATTTGTTTTTGTTTAGATAAAGATCCATAAACTTTTCCACAGATCTTTATACCTTTATCAGGTTTCTTCGTTCCTCTTGATAATAAAATATATCCTTACGCACAAATTATGTATTAAATCGGAAAATAAATTTGTGATTAAACCTTCCGCGTTCATTTAAAACTTTATTAAAGCTGTGTTTACATAACAGTGGATAAGGTTATGGGAGAATTCTTGACAGAAAAGCAGAAGCCAATCAGAACTCGAGCAAACCCGTTCCCCGGTTAATGACGTCACATGTTCATTTTAGATTTCTCATTGGACGAGGAGAGTTAAGATCTTGACCACGTTGCGATTGCCCACGCCAGAGAGAAGCATGCCCACGCGTTGAAGTTATTAATCGCTCTCGGAACGATCAAATCCGTTCCGTCCGAAAACGCTATTTGAGAAACAGAAACTATGTAAAAAATACGTTTCTCTTTCAATCCTCCTCGGGACACTGCTTCCAATTGTGTCCACGATAGTAATTTTATTGACTATACAGTTCTTGGTTCGAAAAAATTTGGACCGATTTTTCGTATTGTGTGAACAAGGCTTTACAGCGCTCACGGCGTGATTTTAACCTTATTATTTAATATCAAACATTAAACGCAGCCAATATTGCTACGTTCCAAAATTCTCTAGAAAAAAACTCGTCATATATCGTTTCGAGAGCGAGGCTCGAGGTGCCAAGGTGCAGGAGAGTGCAGACAGAGAGTGCGAATGGCAAGGGTGGCGAGAGCGCAGACGCGATCAGCTGTTCCTGTCTCTAGTCATGATACTTCTTGCGCGGGCGTGCATGCGTGTGCCATTCGTGTTCGTGATGCTTTTCTCGCGCGGAGATTTATCGCGCGCGTGCCGATAACGCGATTCGCGGCGATCCGCGTCGCGCTCCCGGCCTTATTAAAGTTCCTTTCAAGCGGACCGCATCTCCGCAGATGGACGCCGACCACCGACGATCCCGCTGCTCGGCGCCGGAAGCTTTTCGACGATAACACCACGTCAGATTTTCGCGGTGACGGTAGTGGCGGCGGTGGTGGTGGAATAGTAATTGCGATCGCGGTGATGGTGGTAGTGCCGTCACTGCCGTCGTCGTCGTCGTTATCGTCGTCGTCGTCGATGTCGCTCGTCGTCGGTTACAGTAACTCGTGCCCTCGTGCCCGCGCGTTTACGAGCGACAACGTGTGAAATAAAAAGCCACTCCTAATGCGGCGAACAACGCCGGCGTCCCGTAAAAGGAGAGGATGAGGCCTCGTGTGTTGTGCGTGTACTGGGCGCTGCTCCTGATATCGACGGTGTCCAGGTGAGGCATCCGCGCCGATCCGTTCGAACGTAACGAATCGATCGAACGTGTAGCAAGTCGCGCGTAGACGAGCGATCTCATTTACGGCCGTATCGGGAAAATGCGAAAGCGAATTCTTGCGCAAGCTTCGTTCTTTCACACCTCTTAAGTAGAGAGATTGAAAGTTTTTACCAAGTTTTTCTGCTAGAGTAACCCGTGGGTATTTCGCGAATCATTTGTCTTGGAGTATTTTGGAGCAAAAGATTCTGATGAACGCGATGGAACAAAATTTCAAGTACAATTTATGTAGAATGTATTTATATTTCGGATAATTATTTTCACAACGTTGTAAACTTTATCCAATACCATCGCAGTTTTTAAAAGAGATATTAAAATAACAACTTATAAATGTTGAATTTCTGTTATAATTTGGACTAAATTAAATTTTAATAGACAGTAAGGTACATTAATAATGCTCGTAAAGCTTGGTAGGATTGTTTAATTGTTAGCGAAAAACTGGTTTTTTTATACCAAACTTTCGTAAGATATAATTGCTTACTTTTGCATTATGCAACACTAACACAATGTATTACTTAATACTGGACATGGCAATTTCTTTCTGTTACAGTGGACTTCTATTTCTGATAGTAGCTTCGGAAAGTGCACAAGCCAAAGATTCTTTTTTCCATCCTGAGAAAAATGAGACTTATGGGGCTTACAGTAATGTTACGCTTAATTACGAGGACCTCGAAAGTTTTGAGTCTTCGTCTATATTAGATGCTGAAACTGGAGCAGTGACATTGAAGACTAATCAAAACAATTTACATGGTCAGGTAAGACCATTATGGAATTTCTTTTGTAATGTAAAGGTGTAAGGAATGTAGAATTTTTTTTCTACATTCTTTATTTACATTTATTTTATTTTTTACATTATATTACAGCAAGAAGCTACAGTCGCTGCTAGTTTTGAGACGATTACCAACGACGATACAGAGGAGAAAAGGAATATAGATATTTTAGCCGAAAGTCTCACGCAACAGCCTAATCTTTCTCAAGGGTAAGTTTGTGCACATTTTTACTTTATTTCTTACAAAACAAGCGCTTTAACAGATACTTGTATAGGGATATAAATTGATCAATATTGTGTGCATATAAAAATAGAGCTATTATTACTTTCATCTAGATAATCAATATAAACAGCTAGTTAGACTGCATAATAGATACAATAATTTATATTACATATCGATTATTTTATTACATTACATGCATATAAAACACTTCTATTATTCTAATATATTTGTGTTTGACAAGAGATTTATTATCATGCATAAGTACAGTGTGATATAAAGATTTTTAAGAATAATAAAAATAAGATAATTATAGGCTATTAAAGTTCTAGAGATTTTTTTTGCGATTGTTAAGATAAATTTGCTACGAGATATTTGAGATCATAACGAAAGTTTTCAAGGACGATAAAAAAATACGTGTATATATAAATACAGTATGAACTGGCATTTCGCCGAAACAGAATAAATATATTATTTTTATCGGTATATTTTTCACTAAAACTAGGTTTTATTTATCTATTATAAAATGGCAAATATCCTTGCAAAACTATGTTACATACATTTTATGTATTAACAAAAACACTGTTGAAAATAATAAATTTTATTGTCATATATTTTATTACCAAAAAATATAATAACTAAATACGAACAATACATTATATTTATGTATTGTATATGTTATCTTTTTTTACACTGTACTTTTTTTATCACATTTTTACATTATTATTTGGCTACAATTATTATGCAACAAATATTTGGCGAAATTGCTGTTTTTTTTTTTTTAGGTTTTTTTAATATATATATCGTGGAATTTTATGTCGATTTTGATAAATTTTTTTTTTATTTAATATAGATTTTGGATATTTTGAGATAAATAAAATATCCAAAATCTATATTAAATTTAAAAAAAATTTATCAAGATCGACATAAAATTCCACGATATATATAAAAAAAACCTAAAAAAAAAAAACAGCAATTTCGCCAAATATTTGTAAATAAAATGATATAATATTAAAGAATGGTAATAAACATTTTGATTTTTAACAAGATTAACTTTTTATACAAAAATGTTTTTGTATAACGAAACATTCTTCGTAAATTTTTACAAAGGAGTTTCCTTTTTTTTTGTAGCTGATCTTTGTGAGTCAAATATACTATTTAATATTTATGTTAGCATTAAAGAGGGTAACAGTTGACCTGTTCTTCAGATTGTTAGAAGATATATGTATGTATGCGTACGTATTTCTTTATGCTTTTCTATTTTTTTCTCAGCGGCCGAACAACATATATTTTTTTTATTTTATCCGATAATATTTTACGTTAGAGTTATTTTCTGACGGAGCACAAATAAATTATAATTGACATTTTTAAATCTAAAAAAAAATGTTTCTCGAATACTGGAAGAAATTTGTTCATCTATTTTCCCGTGCTATTTGCGCTAAATTCTGCAAAATGCATGTGCATCATATATATATTTCACGGAAATCTATATACTTGCAAATTACGATGCATGAAAATGTAGAGGAGAGGTGGGAATGACAGAAGGGAATATTTTTTTACAAGATGCTAATAAAAATAAATTAATTGTATTTATTCATCGTTTTTTTTTTATTGCGATTGAAACATATTTTTCAAGAACTTGTATTATCTTGTGATTTTTTGCCAGAGAATATTTATATTTGTCTTCCTGTGATAACGAGACATAACTCTGACTCATTGCATGATAATTTGTCTGTCGACAAATTATTCGGCGCTTGTCGTATTATGTATGCACTTTTAAATCAAATGCTCCATTTACCACAACGGTTGTTAATTATATAGCGTACAGAAAGAGTGATTTTTTACTCGTTAGTTGCAGAGACGGTGCGTCTTTATCTTCATTATCGATCTTTAAGAAAAGATGTATTAATTATGTCAATAATATCGTAAAGAGTTTGAGAATCATTTCGTCTTTAAGGAGAAACATCTCCATATATCGAAGATTTAATATAGAAAGTAAAAATTATAGTATTTTAGTGCTGTTTTCTTTATTACTAGCGCGTAATATATCGATTTTTCCTTAGTAGATAGAAGCATTTATTATACAACAACGTCGTAACGTATACAATGACACGTCTATTATTCGCGCGTGTGGTGCCCTCACAGGCTAAATGAATTTAATCATTAACCTTTCATGGACTTTTGCATTAAAGTGCGAAGTAAGGTTTACAATAGAGGAAACGATTTCCGGTAATAACGCTTCACGAATACAAAATTACTAATGCACTATGAATAATAAAGTATACTTAAAATATACTTAATTAAGTAAAATATACTTAATTAAAGAGCAAAGCGTTGATCATTGTACATTTTTGCTAAATTTCTGAATTCATATGTAGCGCACTTATTGTAACCAACAGAAATTAATTAATTACATCTAATGATACAACAGTTTTACAAAGAGAATAATCTCATACAAAGAATTTTATAACAAAATCTTCAAGAATCTTTATATTATTTCGTTATAAATTTTTAATATCTTATTTAATACCTCCGTGATTTGTGTCATGAAGGTTTCCACCATTTAATATTCGGGGAATTCGCGTATTTATTTGATCGAAAATTTGATCGAGGATTGTCTGTCCGTTTTAACTCGCATTGTTAACATTAATAGAATATTGCAATGTTAAACTTTAAATGTTGTCATCGAAGAATTCTGGAAATCTATACAAAGAGTGTGTATTTTTCTACGCGAACGACCAAAAATATTTTTGCTTTTCTTTCTTGAAAAAGCACTATAGGAATTTGTATTGCTCGTTATTAAAAAAATATTTGTAAATAAAATAATTTAACAGAAACAAATATGTTTATGTAGCTTCTATAAATTGCTACGCAATACTACATCGGCATATTTGCAATATAATTTCAGAAGATCTCTTTTTTTTTCAATTTATATATGTATATATATCTTTTATTTATTGACATAAAAATATAATTTATGCAGAAGATATTGCAATATTAAAATTCTTTCTAAACCATTTCTGTATGACGATTAAAACATGGGCTATTAACATTCTTTAATATAAGTGGTTGAAAGTAACAATATTCCTGCAAATAAAAACTTTCAGTAATGTCTCTGCATAAATTTAAATTATTTAAAAAACTGATTAGGTCCGGTTTGATCTTGCTTATTTGGTCCTGCTAGTTCGACAGAGGTCATAAATTAGATACGTTAATTGAAAACAGTTTTATTTAATATCTTTTAAATAGTTGTAAAAGACACACAAAATGAATAGGTTCTAGTTGATAGATACTAGATCGTTCGCATTTTTATAAATTATACGTTGATATTCATGTTGATAAAATATTTATCCTATATATAAGCCGTATACCGCAACATTGCTTGGGTATTTCTCGACCGGCTAGCGCCGAGTTCTCTTATTGGTAACTGATAGAACTTGGACAGGGACAATTAATCTCTATCGTGTTATGCATGTATGTGCATGCGCCGTATCCTCGGCTCATTAACATCCAGATAGATCCTAACGATCCGTCCTCGTACATGTGTGCTCCTTTCGCTCCTTATAGATTTCAACGTTAAGCCGCCAGGATCAAGTCTCGATCGCCTGAGTAGCATTCGAATCCACGTTGTTATATCACTGTGTACCTAGTAAGAGGAATTAGGCGCGTATTCAGGGCTTATTCGAAGCAACTTAATCCTAGCCAATATGTGCGACGCACATATTATATTTTGCGCTTAATGATAGAATAGCGATTTCTTCGGATATCAATATCTTGAGATGTTTTATTATTTAGGTACACTTGAACTATATACATTTATTACATTCGTGCGTATTTTATATGCATGCGCGATGATAGAAATAATATAATTAGACAATGATGACTGTACAGATTTTTTTGTTAATCCATAATTCAACCTAGTATTTTTTAATGACGTCAAACGAATTAAATGAATAATTAACAAAGCATCTGCTATTAATGCGATTGACAAATGATTAGATAGATTAACGAGAGCTCATTTAACAGCTTACGCATTCCGTTCATGATCTCGTTTCCTCTTCTTCTCCCTGTCAAATGTCTGATGTTATTTTTTTTTTAATTAATCTATCCAATAATTTGTAAAATTTATATAATTTGTGTTTGAAAACATGAGGTAATATAATATATAATTTCGTGTTTGATTTAATTATTAAATCAAAAAATTTCTTCGCGCAGCAGCGCAGATTAAGGACACGTCCACTTTACGTATATTGAGATGAAAAACGAATTGCCGGAAAACGTTTATTTCGTTTTCTATCGCGAAAATCTATCGCGCGCCAGTACGCGAGGGTTGACGTTGCACGAGGGATGCTTCTGGCGAACGTCCAACTTGGCCGTGTAACCGATTCCGATCGGGCGGAGTTTTATGCAAAATCCTCGTATACTCGTTCGAGAAGAACTTGCGCGTTCATTGCTTGCATGCTCAGTCAGCTGAGATATTTTAAAAAGTGATCAAGGTTAGAATATGATGTAAAATTAAAAGTCTCATAAAATAGACATTTAAAAGTACTTATCTCTAGAATTATATATGTGGACAGACTAATTAGTTTATCTATAAAAGGAATAGAAAGTAAAAGAATAGAATTGATCCTTAATTTATTTTCGTGAAATATTTTTTATGTGCATATTTGTATTTTATTTGCAGTTTCTGGCAGACTTTTTTTTTATTAAAATTTCTGCATTATTTGTCTCATCTGTTTGAACGTTAGTTTGCCGATTCCGAAATAAAAGTTCATTATTTTCTCGACAAACTGCATTTTAAATCTTGCGGTATATTGATTACGGCTTTTTTTCGCGATAATCATCTATTTCTAACACGAAGAGATTCCATCTTGACGGAAAAAAATTGTTCTATATAGAGAAGACTAAATCGACGGCTTAGTATATATTTGGACGTGCGGCATACGTGCAGTCGATATCGGAGAATATAATACGTTCTTTTATTATCGTATACGTAATAAAATATAATGTTTCTTCTACGACGTAGAGAGGCGGGCATTTCCGCGACGAGAGATGCAGACTTGAAAAATTATTATTAAAAGTATGAGAGAAGCTTTTCCGTCTTTTCGTCTCCGTTGAAAGATACGTATCAATAAATCACTGCGCTTTTTAGCTCCGCCACGACGATCGGCGAACAGTCTTTAATTTCACATATGGAGCATCAAGGTTTATCTAGAATCACCTTGTGTATGATATTTTCTTTACCCGCACAGATTTTGACACTTCATATGTGAACATACATCTTTGGACGCATATACTTTTTTAGATATTTTGAGAATTGCTTTTAAATGATCTACAATCTACATAAGACAGACATGAATTGCTGTGGAATTTTGGAGCGCATAATTTATATGACAACATTACAAGATTATATTAACTGTTTTGTCTCTTTATAATGCCTAATAAAAAAAAATTAACGAAAGATTGATCAATGCCAGTGAATAATTTACATTTTGCAACTGTGTAAATGATTTTTTATTTTAATTACTGTCTCATTTATAATTTATTTCAATGTCTATTGAAATGTTTGTACATAGAGTATTTTGTACATCAAGTTTACTCAAAGTTTTGTAATATTTTTAAACGTATTTTTTAACAGAGCTATTTTATTTAGAGCTTCTTAGCTTTTTACATTGAATATTTTTGAAATAAAATCTCGGAAAAGAAATATAAAAGACCTTCTAATGAAAGTTTTGGAAAGAAAATATTTATTACGAGAATTCTGCTATACGTAACACAATCCGGAAAATATAGAGCGTTAAAAATTTACAAACAAAATACCTTTCGGGCGAAGCATGCGCCACTCTTGCTTGTCTCACTTTTACACGTGAATACTTTATAGGGCATAAAAAGCGTCGTAGCAACCGCGGTTGGTTGCAAATTGTTAAAGTTCTGTGATGGGCAGAGGGATGGGCGGTCGCGAGACTAGGAAAAGACTCCTGAAGAAAAAGGGCAGATTAGAAAGGATGAGAAAGTCTCGACGGAGGGAAAGTCGCGGCAACGCGATACGAAAGGGGAATGCGAAAGAGAGAAGGGTGCTGGTGGAAGTAGGCTGACGGTGCGGCCGTGAGGGGATGGTGGCGTGGAAGGGCGCTGCGACGCTGCATGAGAGGGCGGATGTCAGTCCACGTTCGAGCGTACGCCGGCATAGGCGCGGATCAGTTGATCGGGCCGCATTTTTCTTCGCCACCCCTCGCGTGTTTTTGTGACAGAAACTTGATCAATCGCGACGCCCAAGACGCGCGATTGAAGGTGACCGAAAGAGAGAAAGTGCGTGCGTATGCGTGAAACGACACGTAGAGCCGACCCGGCAGTGGGATGACCATTGGTGCGATGCATGTAGCGTGTCGTTAAAGACTCGGATGTATCGCTCGAAAGGGCTTTCCATCCGATCGATATTTATTGTTGATTTGAAATTCATACTGCGACGATCTTTTGATGCACGTACATATATCGAAAGGAAGCCGGTTTTGTATACAATTCTATATTTAGTTTGTATTAATAATTTTAAACGTGACGAATTCTGTGTGAAGAGGTTGATTAGTGAAATTATCACCAATATATAATACAAAAGTATGTTAATTTTTCAAATGTGCATCGCTACTTTTCGTATTGACGATCTCTTGGTATCTGTCATCGTACGTTCAATAATATAGTCAATGTCAGAGTCTAATAAATATCAAACCAAGATAAACACACAACACACAACACATATATTATTTAAAGAATTTTTAAATGAGTTCGTAATAGTGATTAATTCGCTAGTATGTACCTATATTCGTCTGTCTTTAGATGTAATTGGATTACGTCTTGATAAAGAAGTTTATCTAGAAACGTACATTGCTTACAGATCCCGCGATTTATTTTGGCTGTGTCAAGGAATCACAGAAATCTGTTCACGTGTTCCACGTGAGTTCGTCCAGCTTAATACGGCTTGTGTATCGCGTGATCATTAACTTGCTATTTATTGAACTCAATTTAAGAATTTCTGTGATTCACCCGTGAATGTTTTTAATTTTTTTTATACTGTTTCATACAAAGCATCATTTACCTATTTTATTTTTTCTAAGATGTAATTAATGAAGATATGATCGTATTTACATTTCTCTGTCCGATTATACTTAGACTTGTTCTACTATGAGCTTCCAATGATGAACAGTGCTATATTTATCCATTTCTTTTCAAGAAATTTTATTTCTAGAGTGAATTAATGTTAATCAAATTAAATTTTATTTTATTAATTATTTATGACTTTGTTGTATTAAAATTTAAAAAGTTTGCATTAGAATGAGTAAATGATCGCATCTATAGACATTCTAAAACAAATCGTTTCGGTTCTAAAATAAATTGTGTTTCACTTGATCAATTATATTTGATGAAACTAATATTTTTATTTATTTTATTTACTTGTTATTTAATTTTTCTTTTATATTTTTATCTCTAATTAATTGCATGATTCACAATATGAACGAAGCAATTTCACGTCTTTTACTGGATAAAATCGAATATTTTATACATTTTCTACTGCAATTCTCAAAGAAATTAATTATTCTCTCGGTATTTTTTGTATAATATGATTTTTGGCTTTGATTTTTCATAATTCTAAATGCGAAATTAGTGTCTGCATTTTGAAAAGCGAAAAAATGCGAGGTATTTTTTTAAATTTTCTAATGCCGGAGAAAATGAGATCACGGTAAAATTATTGCGACATCTTTTTAAGGTTTCTGGTGATCAAGAAAACGCTCGTACCATTTACGCACGAAAAAAAGTGTTCTTGCTATCATGACGATATTTCGACATTAGAGCTCTTCGCTTTTTATCAAAGATATAAAAAGTTATCTAACATAACAAATGAAGAAACAAAAATGTAAATGGAGTATACATATACATCGGTATCGATTTTAAGTGTACAATACACTTATTTGTTAAAAGAAGTCTTTCCATCGCTGATATAGACGATGATAAGAAAGAAGTGATTGGTGCGTGCATTCTTGAACTTTCCTCTCCACCTTGTATTATGAGACGAAATTTCTTTCATCAAACTTTTCCTACCAGGGTAGTCGGCGAATAAACTTTCACGTTTCCCTTGCACTTCTCGGCAGCTCCGAGCGGAATTTGTCGAATTTGTTATACGCTCTTGCGCTCGAAGGGAAAACGTGAAAGTCACTGATGTTCGAAAAGGAGAGACTGCATTCTTTCCGGAATCATCTTTCGGTTTTCGACGAATAAACAGGAACCGCGAAATCATGACTTTCTTGGTGGAAAATAAAACAAATGAAACTTCACTGTGACTCGCTACAAGTAAAAAGCGCGACCATGTAGCTTTTTCTTCAAGATTTAGCTTTTATAGAGCTTGGGAAGTGTTTTCATCCCCGGAAAAAGCTCTTCACGAACTTCGTCAATTTCGCTTTGCTCGCCATGTTTTAAAGTGTTTAGAGACTGGAATCTTTTTTATTATCTTTGCCCAGAAGGAATAAAATTGTCAGAGTATTGTTGCAAGTTTTTGTATGCATTGTTTGCAAGTTTTAAGAGTGATTGAGCGTGTAAATAAATAAGTTGATCCCTTTACGACATGAAACGTTTTCTTTTTCGATTTTTAATTGCGGCTTAAATTTGCGACACGAACAATTTGTAGAACGTGTGAGTATAGATTTTCATTCAATATTGTATATGATTCTCAATTTTCCTATTTGAGATCATATTAGAAATTTATGTTGCGCATAAATATCTTGCGTTTGCCTAGAATGTTTTCCCATATAACGAAAATTTAACGCTAATATATATTTGATACTCTTAAACTACAAGTACGCTCGAGTAGTGTAAAATAGTGTTATGCTAATCGCTATTCATTAAGAATTGTTATATTCTATAAAATGTAATAAGAAGCAGTTACAAATGCTGTTTTTGAGATTAAATCTTACATTTTATTTTAAAATGATCTTATGATCACTTTCTTAATACATTAACGAAGATAAAACTAGCGGAGATACACTTAAGAAGCTAAGAACATTTTTCACAAAAATCGAGACAGTAGAACATTTAGAAAAAAAGTGAAATAATAGCTTTTAATGGAAGCGGGAGCAATGAACCGGTTGATTCCGTCGCGCTTACGATGACGATGATCTACGGGCGATCAGTCGTTCTTGTTGGTGAAGTATGTATCTACGGCGAATACCAGAGCTGCTATGATCGCGAAAGAACCAGCCGCTACGGTTTGATCGCTGTATTCCTGCAGATACGCGTGAATCAGGTTACTCGAGAAATTGTCCCAGTCGCGAATCAGAATGAGGCCGGCGGTACAACAGAGAATCACGCCCATCGTCGAAAACATGAGAGCCTATAAAAGAAGAAAATGAAGAATAGTACCTTGTTGCAGTACGATATTGCATCGAGATCAGACAGGGATGCGGTAGAAACTAGAAAAGTTAAATTTTTTATGGAATTGTTTTTCTTCAGAAGAGAGAGAATACAGCGAAATAACACACGTAATTTTACGTTCGATTTTCGGTTTTCTAAATTCTTCGTGAAGCACGAAAAAATCATACCAATTTTTTTCAAGATTTCTCATTTTCATTAGTAATCGTAGATCACATTTTTTTTGTGTTTTGCATCGATTAATGAATTATTTTTATTTGCGAATAATAGCGTAGTATTTTGCGTTTTAGCTCACCGTTTTTTTCGGCAATTTTTCGCCCAAAATATGACTCATAATAAGAATCGCATTTATAAGAATATAACCGCACACTGCCACATGAAATATCGCTATGTGGTGTATATCAGTCGGCCGTATCTGATTCTGTTGAAATGGTCCCGCCACTAATCCCGCTGCAATGACACAGAAAACCTGTAACACGTTCAATAGTTATTTTTTTTTTTACAAAGTAAGAGCTTTGTAGAAAAATTAAAAGCAAATGATTTTTCAAAACAATCGTTAAATACGTATGTCATTAACTCATACTGCAACGTAAAGACTATTTTATTCTCAAAAGCGGACCGTCTAAACATTATATTTTGAAATATAAGAATTATTTATTGCTAAATTAAGTAAATTATTAAGAATAAACTATTAATTGAGCGATTTTACCATTTCGATAATTTTACAAAAAAACGGCGCTTCCTTCAGGTATCCCTTCAATCTCGTTAAGAGACTGGGTGCAGAATTAGTTTCTTCAGCCATTTTCAAATCACACTTTGTGGTAGTACACTTTGTTAGTTTAGACGCGCAAGTTTATAATCACAAGAAAAATGTTCGTCAAGACATTCGAAGTACGACGACGTTTGTTTCCAACTACGCTGAGAAACGCTCCACCCAACTATATTGACCTGTCAGTGGCTAGTGTGACACTGACTAACATTAAACCGACTAAGTCCCCACTTCCTCGCTAAATGCATTTAATGCGTCATGGCAATAGTTCTTGGTACTCAACCTTGATGGTGGGTCTGAGATGATCTGTGCTCCATATCTCTGAAGCTGGGCCTTATCATCGCAAACATGTACGAATACATCAAAATCGATTTTTCGCTCAGTCAAATTGACTATGTTCAATAACGGTTTTAAATAACGCTGGATAATTATTTATTAATTTAATGAATAAACTCGTGTAGCACACAGTCACATTTGCATCAGTGAAACATTTATAATTTATTATAAAAATCTATTTGGACGATCTAGAACAAGGATGTGTGTTCTCGTGAAATTTTACTACGATATGGTATTAAGGATGCTATAGCGGAGAGCGATAAATCCGGTAGTCTAATCCGACCAAGAATTACGATTTTCGTGGAAGTATCTACTGTTGGAAATTCGGCGCAGGAGCAAACTTTGTCGCGGCGTTCCACCGAGTTTCATAACGATAAAGGGTAGTTATTGGCCAAAGTGGCGAATGGAGAAATGCAGCGAATAATTTTGCATTTCATTGCATCGCGTTCAGATTGTTGCAGACGACGACTCCTCGTTAGATCGAATACTATGAAGATATTGAATCACCTCTCGAGATCATAGTGCTTGAATTCAACGAGAAATACTGAGAGAAGAAGGAAACTATTTATTATTCGTTGTCAATTCCAAGCTTTCCTCCTGATTCTTTATTTAGACTATTATTCTGGAATGAAAAAAAATTCAAGTTGTTGACGATACGTATCATCTTAACGGTTATGTAATTATTTTTAATTAACAAAGATTGCACGCAGGAAAAATTTCTTTATTTTATTTATTTTACAAGTATCGTTATATACGCGAATTCGCTATTCTCGCGAGAAAAAAACCATAACTTTTTTTTTATAATAGAGGTTTTAAATGATCTCGAGGCTTCTAATTAATTTTACAGAAAATTACTTATGGGTCTGTAATTATCAACTGATTCTAGCAGAGAAAAATTGACATTCTACAATCGTAGAAACTGCACTCTTGTGATTGTGAAAGTTACATTACCCGCATCTTTTACCGGATAGGAACCACGTACGAAAATACACCCGGCATGTACTTGCGCTATCCAGTATCCACCCACGTTCATCCTATTGCCACGCTCGGCTGCTCGCTTAATTTATCATAATTCCTTCCCAGTTCGCTCTCCTGTCGTCGCCTCACCCTCTTGTCCTCCCCCTGTCACTTTTCTTCTTCTTTCCTACCGTTAACGAACACCTTACTTGCTTCTATCACTCGCCGTCTTTCTCCTTTCCCGTTCTTCGGCTTCATCTTCGACTTATCTTGCGAGTTTCATTAGGTCGGCGCTGTCAAAAGACATCACCTCGCAGAAAATCCAATATGTCGAGCGAATTTTTATGAAATCACAATGGCGAAGTTATGAAGAATTTTTTTTTCTTTTTCGCACAAAATTATTTGATCATGATAAACATAGGTTTTTATGTATGGCTTTTGCTCTCGTTTCTGCTCAGAATTAAGATATAGAATTGAAAAAGATGATCTTTTTATGTAAATCTCTATACAATTTGAATGTTGTATCGTGTATAGTTCCGTTATATGTATAATTTTTACAAAGGTAGTTGTGTACGTAGAGCTCCACTGCAATTCACGTTAATAAAAATCGAACTTGTCGCCGCAATGTGTTACCTCCTCTTCATAAACTACTTTAATTAAACGTCCATATGAGCTGTATTGTCACGCAATCGCGTATCCGTGCGTTTGTAGTTTAATAACACTGTGATAGCGTCGGCGAATTTGACAATCGTTCAATGCCCGTTAAACGAGCGCGCGAACCGTATTGCCAGATGGCTAAATACGGTAAAGTTGATCTCTGAAAAGCGGGTGAAATCTCCCCGCCCGCTAATTAGAGCTTTCACTCCTCTTACGGCCGGTCAACCTATATATTTCCGCGGCACAATCGATGAGCAATTTTCTCTGTCAAATCTCCTTGACCAAGTCAATAAGTCACACGTGACGCGAAATTTTATGGAGCGCAATCGCGACCTCGAAACGTAATTGAGGTGTTTGACGAAAATATATTCTCGTGTAGATCCGAAATATGCTGCGTATTTATAACCAATAAAGAGAATAAGCACTTCTTCGCCGCAGCGTATTCTAAAGACGTCAAGGTGCTAGTTTCATTTACGTGAAAAAACTTGGGTATTTTATATTATATATTTTCAATAGCGAAAAGAGAGAAGAGATCAAGAATGTAAAAAAAGATATATACACTCGTTGTCAATCTTAATCTGCGTTCTAGAAGGAATAGGATGATCTCTTCCGAAAAATATAAAATAACTTTAATATGAACGCATTGAAGTTTTATGAACGTAGATACCATGCAAATAAAATTAAATCGAATTTCCAGCGGATGAAATTTAACGAAGAGACAAACGCGTAATGCAACAAATATAATTTATATCCTTCGTGCTTATGTGGCGTTGTAACAAAAACTGGTTGCGCTGGTTCGACATTGATGGCATAGCGACTACCGCGTTCACTAAGATGTGAAAGGACCATAAAGAAGTTAGAAAAATCTGTGATAATTAACTTGTACAATATTCGAAAGACGAATATCATTCTTGTCATCCGACTTATCCACGTCCGATTTCTAAGAAGAGTCAGTTTCGCTCAGTGACGTCTACTTTGCACATTTTCATTTTGTACGGTCGATTTAATCAAGTGTATCGAACACATCTGATACCTTATCATTCGTTGTTATCTTCACTTTCATCCGATCGGGAGCAATTCTGTTTGCACGGCAATCTAGATCGCTGTCATTACATTCGCATTAACATAATGTGCGAATGTGATTCTGGAATAGACTATCAGCGATATTTGCTTTTATCGTCCACACGCCGACAAAACCGGCTGACTGACGTCCTTGTTTCATATTGGTGATGGCAATTTGTACTTTCGCGATACACTGTGTTGCTGCACGCAATTACTCTTCATCTCCAATAGGATAATCTCAATAGGATAAAGTGTTTACTTTTACTCTTGCGTATATGTATATATATATATACATCATCATTCCGGTAGAGGAGATAATGGACGCGATAATAATCACATTTCGATGTCAGAGTTTAATACCGCAACGTGTAATTTTCTCTGGAGAAATTAATATTTTAAATAGTTCATAATCGTCTCTTATTTATTGTCCTTATTAATAATTTGTAATACTCCATATAACGTCAAAAAAATTATATACTTTATTAAAACTATGTTTCTCGAAGAAGCACATATATATTTATTGAATTTTGTGTATTTCACTGATTTCTGATGGATTTTATTTAAGACGATTAGTATTAATTCAAAATTTGAGGTTTTACAAGAGATTTTATAAAGAAATCTAATATAAGTTAATGTATTTCGAATTGATTATTATATTTTTTTATTATAAGATAACAGAATTTCACGAATTTTCAAGAGGATTAAAATTTTCGGTGTTTTTTGGTTGTTTCTGCTACATGTGCACTAGATGTTTAATTACGAAATTAATATTTCATTTCTACTACATTTGCGGAAGAGATTCAGCGTTTTTCATTTAAAATACACATGACAGCATAAACTGCTAAAGAGATTAAATTCTTGCAATTGTAAATGTTTGTATAAAATAATGAATAATTATTATAATTGTCAATTTAAAATAATCAAAATGATAGTGGATAAAAAACAATAATCTCTGTATCTCTTCTTTTTCCGCTACGTAGAGAAATTTATATTTTTTAATTTATATTCTTCTCTCTCATTGTCGTCTTTTCTTACTCTCTCTTTAGTAGATATTAGCGATTGATTAGTAAACTCCAGATACAGCATGCGCGGATGCAAATGCAGCCGCGCATCCCGTACCGGCAAAGCAGTGACTTAAGTCGTGCGTTTCTCGCGACAGCAATGTTTTGTAAAGAACGCTTTTCACGGACACGTATACAATGCCCGAGGAACATTTGCCTTAATCTTCTAGATTCTGTGGTATGTGTGGGTCCCCGATTTCATTATTCAATGTCGACACAAGTTTTCACTCTGTCGACCTCGCTGCCCTCGCCTTAGGAACGTGTAACATGTCGACATCCATCAGGATTAAATCGCGCGATTAGCGTTATAAAACTGAGTCATTTAATAGAATGACACGACGTAGAGATTTTCGAAAATCAAAATTAAGATACAATTTAATATATTTTTACGTAATAAATGTATAATGAACACGAGTATTAAAAGTCCAACTGAATTCCGCGTCAAAAAGCTACATCATTTTACGCGAAGTTAATTACAACGCGCTAATTACAGCTGTTGAACGCAATTAATATCCGCATTCTCGACATTGTTACAAGTTTGTTTGTTATATTTCGTTCCATAATCTTTCGCGTAATATTAACATGCACTTTATTTATTATCGTGTACGAATTTCCAACACGATTGAAATGCCTATTCTCGAGCTAGCAGCCGTTAAACGGATTTGATTCCATCTAATATGAGCAATACTCGGAATTGTTTTCATATTACGCAGCATTCTCGGTTATATCATCGCGCAAATTCTCGTTACGGCAAAATACCCCCAAAATTCTGATTTTCGCTTGGAGAATGGTCCATGGCAAAACCGCATCCAATGGAAAGGGTGCACCCGATTTTTGGAATGCATGCGAACGAAGTTACACCGCATCGAAACTTTTCACCGATGTGATGTCCCCAACCGAGTAAATATGTTGCGATGCGCATACATATATATATATGCATATCGTTATATATATATATAACGATATGCATAATACATACATATATATATATATATATATGTGTGTGTGTATTATGCATATCGTTGAATGAAAGAAACAAATCGCAAATATGGAATTTGAAAAAGAAAAGGCTTTAACGAGCATATTAATTTTATTTTTGAGAACTTTTTCAAGTATTTGATTGTTATAATCTTTGCCATCTGATATATTTTACACATATA